GCCACATGGAGAGCACTCCACATGGGCAGGACATCGCCCACAGGAAACACCCCTGCAAGGGACCTTGGACCTTGGGGAGGGTGGCTGTGCCCTCCCTGGCTGGGCCCTGCACCCTAGCCTGCAGCCATTCAGCTCGGAGGACTCCCGGCACCGGCACTTGGCTCCCCGCCACCTCCCTGGCCCCTGTGGCACTTGGGGCTCCACAGTTCTCCGACTCCCTGCTGAGGTTCTGAGCCATTTGCAAGCATGTGTCCCCATGTGTGCTTGAGGGCCGGGGGCACCTGTGCATATGGTCAAGGGCCTTCTGTGCACACACGGCACCTGCAGTGTGGTCCCAGCCATTCCTCAGCACCCGTGGGCCCAGCTCCATCTCAGGTGGCCTGCTTGGCACAGCTCTCGCTGGTCACCTCGTGCTGGGTAACTGCTCTCCACCAGCCACACTCGGGCTCCACATACCCAGCCTGGGTCATAGCCACTCATGTCCTGGTCTGGCCAACCTTGCGGGAACTCTGCCCAAGGAGGGACAGTAAGGGTTTTTGAGTACCACGTCAGTGACCTTGACTGCCAGCAGGGGCTCCTCTGGACCCAGAGGCCGGCGAACACCTGACAACCTTCCCCTCCATACAGCGCAGGGGCAGATTAACCCTCCGTGCAGAAGGAGGAGTGGAGGTGGAGGCAGCACAGTGGCTGGCCCCTGGTCCGGGTCTTGCAGAGCCTTCCCCACCTGGGGTGGGGTTGAAGCAAGTCACTTAGGGGCAGCTTCCCAGCTGGTACTCCTGAGACCCTCAGCTCCCCAGCACCCTGATGTCCTCCTCCTCCCATTGTCCATGGATGGAGAAGGGACCAATGGTGCCTCCGGGGTTGAGCTCTCGTCTCCTGGTGCTCCTGCTCTTCTACACCCCCACAGGCCAGGGCTGCAGCCTGAAGGGGCACTGGGCCCCTGTGCCCTGTGAGATGGGCACTGCCACCCTCGCTCTGCAGGTGATGAATGGAATGGAGGTGAAGTGAATTGCACAGCCTCATACAGCATTGGAGTCCTGGACTTGTCTGACCACTGCTAGATGCCACCAGGGGGGCCCCGCCTGTCCCCCACCCCAGCAGACAGGCAGCAGGCCCAGCCCCATCCAAGCTAGGTGGAGACCCCTGGTCCACACCCTCCTGGGCTCCCCTCTGAGTTATATCCAACCCATCCCAGCAACAGCTGCTCTCAGCAAGCCCCCTGGCCTCACCTGCTCTCTCTTCCCTTCTCTCCTGCCTCTTGCCTTCCTTTTTTGCGAGACAGATTTCGCTCTGTCGCTCAGACTGGAGTGCTATGGCACAAGCTCAGCTCACTGCAACCTCTGCCTCCTGGGTTCCAACAAATCTCCTGCCTCAGCCTCTCGAGTAGCTGGGACTACAGGCGCCCATCACCAAGCCTGGCTAATTTTGGTATTTTTAGTAGAGACAGGGTTTCACCATGTTGGCCAGGCTGGTCTCAAACTCCTGACCTTAGGTGATCTGCCTGCCTTGGCCTCCTAAAGTGCTGGGATTACAGGTGTGAGCCACTATGCCCAGCTGCCTTCCTTTAAAAAAAACAAAAAAATACACGAGATCTTGCTCTGTCGCCCAGGCTGGGGTAATCACAGTTCACTGCAGCTTCAACCTCCTGGGCTCGAGCAATCCTCCTGCCTCAGCCTCCGGGGCACCGGGACCACAGGCGCCAGCCACTGCAGTGGGCCTTCTTGGCTCCCTCAAAGCCTCCCTCATGTTCCTGTCTCAAGGCCTTGGTGGGCTCTTTCCCTGTCTTGCTGATGTCCCAGACCCACCCCACATTTTCCCTGGCCCTGCCGTGTGCTGCCCCCACACCTCAGGGGAGGCTGTGAGCCAGGGTGGCCAATCAGAGCACAGCAACCTCAGGCTACAGTAATTGGTGCAGAGTTGGAGACAGGAACCAATCAGACCTCACTGGGACCCTACTGCCATGGCCTGGTCAAGGAGGTGGTGAGTCTCACTCTCCCAAGACACCTTCCTTGCCATGTGGAGAAGGCTGTGCACACAGGGAAACCAACACAGGAGGGCCGCCAGCCATAACGGAGACAGACACAGGGACCAAGTGACTGAGACAGCCTCCAGATGCAGCCTTCGCTGAAGCAGTTGGGCCGTGAGAGGTTCTGTTCATTGGAGAAAACTCTGGGGCTTTGCATTTCTCTGACTCCCTGCTGAGGTTCTGAGCCATTTGCAAGCGTGTGCCCCATGTGTGCCTGAGGGCCAGGGGCACCTGTGCATATGCTCAAGGGCTTTCTGTGCACACATGGCACCTGCATTGTGGTCTCAGGCATTCCTCAACTCACATCTTTGCACGTGAGTAGTTCCGGTACGGCTCGTCTGCCCAGTGCCCTGGTGCCTATCTGCTGTCTCGTGTGAACTCGCTGGGCCACCCTCTGACTGCTGGACCCACCTCCAGCTGCTACTTAGGGCAAGAGAGACGGATCCCAGTACCCCACCCAGCCAGCTGCAGCCCGCTCTGGTCTGCCACCTTCGATTCAACCTCTTCACTGTGGCTGCAGCTGTGATCTCATCCTTCCTGTCTCATTTTAATGCCACCTCCTTCAGGAAGCCTCCCCTGACTAGGAAGCCAGGCGGCCTCACTGCCGTCTCCACACAGCACAGTCTAGGAATGGCCTGCCCAGGTGGGGCTGCTCCAAGTCCTGACCATCCAGCCCTCCGCACTCCCCTGAGGCCCCACCGTCAGGAGAAGCAGCCCCAGCCTCTGGGCCCTTTCAGGCTTGACTGTGGCCCTGAGCCCCAGGGGTGAAGTTTGCTGAGCCTCACCTGACTCTCTGCATTTACGATGGAGGTGGGGATGGGGGGCAGAGCCAGACACTCAGAGGTGAAGCCCAACGCAACCCAATCAATCAAACTGCCTCCTTCCCACTGAGAAGCAAGACAAGGGGCAAAACAGATGTGACCCCAAAATATCCTGTTTGTTCCTGATTGAGGACCTGTGAGTCCAGCAAGGGGCCGGCCAAACTCCGGGACCGTGAGGACCTACCCTCCCCGTCCTAGGCTGGGCCAGCACCACAGAGCCACTGAGCCCAGGGGCCTCTGCTCAAGGCGATCCCTACAGGGTAAGGGGCAACGTTGGTGGTATTAGAGATGTTGAGGCAAGGCGCCCACCTGGGACACAAAAAGAAGCAGAGCTCCCCCCAGTGGCAGCTCCTTCCTCCCCGGATGTAGCATATCACTCATGAAAGAAGCAAATACCAGGCCAAGCAAAGGGGTGCTCATGGCAGGGTCTGCAGGTGAAGGGTGGGGCTGCAGGAAACAGCAGGATGGCCTGGAGGGTGGAAGGTCCCAGAAGTCTCCAAGACTGAGTAGTTTCCCTTTCACCCTCAGTCCTCTGCCTACACACCCACCTCCACCGCCCACCCTTCCTGCACCCTTCCCTAGTCACTCATCAACCATCCTGCCATTGGAACCCAGTGTAACCACCCACCATTCTCCCCTTCCATCAGCCACAACCAGTGTCTCCCCAATCCACAAGGCACACCATCTATCTCTCCACCAGTAATCCCCTAATGACCAATTCACCACCCTCCCAGAAACCCATCTCCCCATCATCAAATCATCCAAACATCATGCACAATCTATTTGCTGTTCATCTTTCTACCTCTCTGCCTCCCATCACCCACAAATCCATCCTCCATTCACTCACCACCCAACCATTCCAATGTGTATGATGCAGATCCAAGCATCCACTGCAGACCCATTCCCCCAACCCCCTATCAATCATGTATCCATCACCTAGCCCACATTCATTCACAATTCATCCACCATGCTCTGTCCACCCACCCATTTATTTATATCCAGTAACTCCTGTACTCTCATCCACCTACCTACTATCTCTCTACCTACTATCCATTCACATGTCATCTAAAATCTGCCTGCCTTGGCCTCCCAAAGTGTTGGGGTTACAGGCATGAGCCACTGCACCCGGCCAACACCCATTCTTTATGATCTACCTGCCGGCCATGTATCCACTTATGCCATTCTCCATCCATCATTCCCTGATTACCATCCATTCATTTTTCTTTTCTTTTCTTTTCTTTTCTTTCTTTTTTTTTTTTTTTTTGTTTGAGACGGAGTCTCACTCTGTGGCCCAGGCTGGAGTGCAGTGGCATGATCTCAGCTCACTGCAAGCTCCTCCTCCCAGATTCATGCCATTCTCCTGCCTCAGCCTCCCGAGTAGCTGGGACTATAGGCACCTGCTACCACGCCCAGCTAAATTTTTGTATTTTTTTTTTTAAGTAGAGATGGGGTTTCACTGTGTTAGCCAGGATGGTCTTGATCTCCTGACCTCGTGATCTGCCCGCCTCAGCCTCCCAAAGTGCTGGGATTACAGGCGTGAGCCACTGCACCTGGCCATTCATTCATTTTTCACTCACCATCCTCATCCATCCATTCATCACCCATCCACCCTCTATCACTCATCATCCACCCCGTCAACCATTCACCATTCACCTGCCATGCATCCATATGCCCTACACCATGCACCATCAATGCTGCTGTCCATCAGCTGTCCCCTACTCACCATCCATGACTCTCCACCACCATCCACAATCCACCCTCGTATACCATCCACATACCATGTTCCATCCAGTATCTTCCTTCTATCATCCAACCACCATCTGCAACTCATGGGACGGGGTCACTACGTGAAGTGGACACCCAGTCACAATGGTGAGCAGACTAGGCTCAGGCCTAGCGGCACACAGGACAGAGAAAGGGGTGAATTCAAAGGTCGTTTATTCCCCCTCCTGGCAAGACACCCATTTTACGGGGTAGGTTAGTCCCGCAAAGCCCTTCTTCCTTGCCCTTCTTCCTGAGAACCTAAGGTGTTCAGGCCCTGGAGGGGCGGGTAAGGAGAGGCTGAGAAGGTGCCTCCCAGGGGCCTGAAGAGTCGGCCCTGGGCGGGTCTGGAGGTAAATGTGTAACGGACCCCGGTGCCCCCACCCGACCTGCCTGGTCACGTGGGTCCAGTGGGGCAAAGTCTCCTGGTCGGGCGCAAGGAGCAGAGGCGAGATGGGCGCCCTGGGCCGGGTCCTGCTGTGGCTGCAGCTCTGCGGTGAGCCGGGGCCACAATGGTGCGGGCCAGGGCCCAGGACGGCAGCGGGTCTGTCAGGACCCAGGGCCGAGGGCGCTCTAGATGTGGAGGGTGAAGATCTTCCGAGGAGTGGGCAGCGAGGGCTTTGGAGGGTGGGGGGCGTGAAACTCGAGCTGGCCTCCCTGGTCGGGCGAGTGCGCGGCCAGTGCATCTGGCGGCGCGGGAAAGGAGAGGAGGGGTCCGGGAGCCTCCGCCAGCCCCGGCCTCCGGTGGCTCCTGCCCTCGCGGTTTTTCCGTCTGCGAAATGGGCGCGGTCCCCAGAACCTGCCGAGAGCAGCGAGTGTGCGCCTGCGGGGCTGGGCAGACTGCCTCAGTTTCCCGGTCCGCAAGGGAGCACTGAGCCCTCCCCCGCCTTCACACCAGGCCGGCGCGTGTCCCTGGCGCCGCCTTCCCTAAACCCCTCGCGGCTCCCTCACAGCAACCCCACCCACCCCGTTCAGGGCCGGCCTGACCGGGTCCTGCCGCCCCCAGCCCGTTCTTTCTTCTCATACCGGGATGCGCTGTGTCGCAGCCCTTCCCGGCCCAGGTAGGACTTCTCCGGGAAGCCTTCCTGATTCCAAGGCCAAGGAAGAGGGCTGCGCTGCCCCGTCCTCCTCCATGCCCCGGTTGTCACTGTCCTTAACAACCCTCTCCTCTGTTCCAGCGCCAGGCAAACTGGGGGCACTGCCGGGAGGCGATCTAGGCAGGCGTCCTGTAGGGCCCAGAGCGGGCTCTGCAGATACAGTATAAGTCGGTCGGAGAGCGCCCGGGCAGGGCGCCCACAGTCTGGCCGGGAGGGCCCAGGGCCTGGGTCTGGGCCCCGGGGATGGGGTTCCTATGCGTCCCGGGTGACCCGCGCGGACCTGCTGCACCTCTATGGGTGGGTGGCCTTCCCCGAGGAGGGAGCATCCCGGCGAGAACGGCGGGTACTCGGTCACCTCCTCCCCAGCACTGACCCATGCAGCCTCCAAACTCTGGGTCCCCAATACGGACTTCGACATCGCAGCCAACTGGAGCCAGAACCGCACCCCATGCGCCGGCGGCGCCGTCGAGTTCCCGGCGGACAAGGTGCCTGGGAGCCCCGACCGGGTCGGTGATGGGCCTGGACCCCCGGGGCCGCGTGGCCCAGGTGGGGGCTGCTCCCGGCTGGGCTGACGCAGCTTCTTCCTGCAGATGGTGTCGGTCCTGGTGCGAGAAGGTCATGCCGTCTCAGACATGGTAAGGCCGGGCTGTTGCTGCCACTGGGCTGGGGGTTCCCGGAGTCTCCCAAGTTCCTTCAGGGACTGCTGTGTCTGGAAGGCGACCCCCACCGGCACGGAGGCGCTGCGGGACTCGGACTTTGGCCTCTGGAGAATAATCTAGGAGGCAGGGGGTGGGGGAGAACCTAGGGGAGCGTGGTCCCATGGTCTCAGCCAGGCTGTGTCCTTGGAGGGGTGGGAGGCGCCCCGTCCCCACAGCCCTTCTGGTACCCAGCAGTGGGTGGTCTTCCCAGGAAGTGCCCGCTCCACGCCCTTCCCCCAAAGTCTTGCCCTGTCCTGGTGCCTAAAGCTCCACCTTTAGAACACTAGGGTCCCCAATACCCCCCCTCTACCCACCATCCGGGTCCCTGGCCTGTTAGGAAGCAGCCACCCAGCAAGAAGTGAGCCCACTCCTGCCTTCGCTCTACCACCCTTCAGATCAGATTCTCCTAGGGACCCCTATGTCACTGTGCCAGCGAGGGACCTGGGTGGGTGTGCATTCCTTAAGTGCCTGATATCTGAGATGAGACAGCTTAATCCTGAAACCTTCCCCACCCCCATCGGTTCATGGAAGAACTGTCTTCCACAAAACTGGTCCCTGGTGCCAAAAAGGTTGGGGACTGCTGCCCTAGGGGACCTTTTTCTCAAACTGCGTCACACAACACTCCAAGAAAATGATGGGAACTGGGAGGAAAGCAGGTTCCATGAGCAGGTAAGTTTGGGAACGCTGCAGCCTGCACTTGCCTGGAACTTTATCACGTATTAAAGGCTCTGGTAAGGCCCCAGAGAAGTAAGCAAATTTCCTTGTTTAAGGTGGAGTTCAGCGAGTTACAGGCCAAATGCAGCCCCTACGGCTGGAACAAGGAATGGTTTTTACACTTTGTAATCACTGGGGAAAAAAAGAACAATCTTTTGTGGCACTTGAAAAGTATATGACATTCACACCTCAGCAACAGTAAATACAGTTTCACTGGCACACAGCCCCCCCCACTCGGCTGAGTATCCTCGGTGGCCACTGTCCCATTGCAGCGACAGCCCACCAGCTTCCAGGGTGACTGTGGGGCCCACAGGCCAAGTCTCTGGGCAAAAGCTTCCTTCCAGCCCCTTCACAGTGACTCCTGGGCTGCATCCTCATCCTGTCACCTGCACATCTGCCAGCTCAGTCACTCTTGGGTGAGGGTCACTGGTGAGCTGGGTCGGGCTGTCGGCTCCAGATGTGGGGTCCAGGCCTGGGGGCCCCTGCGTGTGCAGGTGGGGGGGATGGCTCAATGGCCTCGGCCTGACCCACTCCTGCCCCACGCAGCGTCAGGGATCCCGGGCCTCATTTCCACCCCAGGGCTGCTTGATTCATTCCTTCAGGTTTTCCAAAGCTACCTTAACCCAAAAGCCGCCAGGCACTGGGCAGGGCACCCACAGCAAGATGATGACGTTCCTGCCTGGGAGATGGGAGGAGGGCTGGGAGAGGGAGGCAGTTGCCCCTCATGGCCCCGCCCCCAGAGCCCACGCATAACCTTGGCAACCAGGCAGCCTGAGGGAGGGGGGCACTGGGAGCTGATGGGGGATCTGTGGGCAGAGGAGTCAGGCTGGGGTGGGGGTTCCAGGGCATGGATTTCCCCCTACTCCCCTCCCCTGCCGGCCTCCTTACTTTCGTGATCTCATTGGAAGCACTTGGGCTCTGAAAGGAGGCAACACTCCATTCATTCATTCATCTATTCAATAATTCATTCATTGATCATCCATTGGCTGGTGGGAACAGTGCAGGGGCAGGGGACAGTGGCCCTGGGGTCCCAGCCTGCAGAGGCCGAATTCACCCAGAGCTGCCTGAGCACCCCCATCCCCTCCACACCCCTGGCTCCCAGCGTCGTCCATCTGCCTAGATAGTGCCCGAGTAACAGGCACATGAGTGCTTTACTTTGTAATTCTCTGGTTGGGAGCGTCCCTCCCTGCGATTTTCCTTTTCCTTGCCCTTCCTTCCATTTCTACCCTTTGCCTGCTTTCTTGTTGGGGAAGTCCCCTGTCTTCCACCCATCCCCCTGCCTGGGCTGGAGGCTTTGCAAGTCTGCTCACTGTGGACTTGCCTGCAGTGTCCTGTACTGAACAGAAACCCTCATTTTAATCGACCTAATGCAAAACCCCTTACCTTAGAACTGTGTTTTTTGTGTTTCATTTGAGAATCCCGTGTGCTCCTCAGTCACAATGGTAATCGACTGCGTACCTATGGGGCATGTGCACCAGCAAGGGGTCCTGCTCTGTTTTCTCTCCTTAGAGTGAGCCCAGCTGCCAACGTCCTCCGCCTTGCCCTTTTCTTCCAGCATTGCTGGAATCCAGCGTGTGCCTGGGCATTGTGGGTCTCTCTGAGCCCTGTCTTCAAGTCCACAGGCCGCTTTGCCGACCCTACACTATCCACACTGTGGCTCTGTGGGATGGCTTAATATCCATCCCCTTCACTCCTGCTCCAAGGTTCTTTGTGGATCTCATTGTTGCAGATAAATTGTAGAATAGGTTTGCCAGGTACCAACTACCACCACCACCACCACAAAACAAAAAACAAAAAACAAAAAACAAACCCTGGATTTTTTTTTTTTTTTTTTTTTTAGATGGAGTCTTGCTCTGTCGCCCAGGCTGGAGTGCAGTGGCATGATCTCTGCTCACTGCAACCTCTGCCTCCCGGGTTCAAGCGATTCTCCTGCCTCAGCCTCCCAAGTAGCTGAGACTATAGGAATTTTGATTGGGATAAATAACAGCCTTATACTGTCAAGCCATCCATTCAAGAGCATGGATGACCTCTCCAAATATTTCAGGTCATCCATGTACTCATTAGCATCTTAAAGTGTTGCCTGTAGAGGTCTTGTATTGTACTGGTTAATTCATCAATACTTTGTTAAGTTTGGTTTTTTGAGACAGGGTCTCACTCTGTTGCCCAGGCTGGAGTGCAGTGGCAGGATCACGGCTCACTGCAGCCTTGACCTCCCTGGGCTCAAACAATCCTCTCACCTCAGCCTCCCGAGTAGCTGGGACTACAGGCTTGTGCCATCACGCCCGGCTAATTTTTGTAGTTTTTGTAGAGATGGGGTCTCACTATGTTGGCCAGGCTGGTCTTAAACTCCTGGGCTCGAGTGATATGCCCTCTTTGGCCTTCCAAAGTGTTGGGATTACAGACATGAGCCACGGCTCCTGGCCTTAAGTTTGTTTCTATTTTGAATGTTGCCCTATATTTAAAAATTATATTCTCTTTTTACTTGTAAATTTTTTGTAGAGACGGAGTTGCACTATGTTCCTCACCAGGCTGATCTCAAACTCCTGGCCTTACCTACTGTGCTTGTCTGTTCAACTATTAGGATTTTTACGTTTATATTTTTCCCCTTCGTTCTTTAAGAAAAGGTGTTCTTGGTATGCTTCCTCCTGGGAACCCCTCCCTGTTCCTGAGGCGCTTTGTGCTGTGACACATTCCTGTGCCTATGGCTCCGCCTCTGCATCTGTGCGTGGACTTGCCCGCCCTGCTGGCAGAGCCGCACCCTCAGGTGTGCACGGAACTGAAGTGTGACCTCACGCCGCTGGGGGTGTTGGCCTCTTGCTCAGGTGCAGTGCTCCTGGAAGGGCCAAAGAGTGGGTCCTGCCCTGGGTGGGCATGCCCTGTTGTGCTGAGCCCCTCATAACCGGCACCAAGGGTTGCCCTGGCCCAGCGCTCATCCTCAGCCCCTGAGAGAGAAGCGCAGAAGCAAGAAGGCAGGAAGCCGAGGTCCTGGCACTTGGAGGAGACGGGGAGGGAGGGGCGGCCGGTCAGACCCCCATATTTCTGCTGACACCTGAGGCCTGGGCTGTGGCCCCACTTCTGTGGTGAGGGAGCTGCATGGCCCACACCAGGCCTAAGAAACAGCAGGGGCAACTCCACTGCCCCGCTACACTCCCTGCCTCCTCCTGCACCCCTGGCCCCCAGATGCAGCCTCTCCCGCCCTCCCCTCCTTCCCTTCCTCCCTCCCTCACACACCAGACTCCCCAGGGGCCGGGCAACGTTTGAACCTGGGAGCCCTGGGCCTGTGCACGTTCTCAGGGGGCTATGGGGGAAGCGACAGGCCTTGGCCAGAGTCACCTCTGCCCCAGACTCCCCACGGCTCCGTCTCGCTCCCGGGCTGGAGCTCTGCCCCTGGCCTGAGACCTCCAGCTCAGGTACAGGACACTGGGCTGTGCCCGCCTCGGGGACTTGCACACGCGGCCCCATCTTTCCCAGGCCAGATCCTCCTCCTCTGGCAGCCTCAGCCAGGCCGAGGATCCCGGGCCTGAGCTTGCCCGGGCCCCTTCCGTGGACAGGGGCTCGCTTCTCGTCCCAGGGGACTGGGGGCGGGGTGGGCGCAGAGCAGGCCCGGACCCCCGCATGGCACCGCCTTAGCCAGTGCCTTTTGCAGCTCCTGCCGCTGGATGGGGAACTCGTCTTGGCTTCAGGAGCCGGATTCGGCGTCTCAGACGTGGGCTCGCACCCGGACTGCGGCGCGGGTGAGGCAGTCGGGCAGGGGCGGGGCTCTGGAAGGGCGTGTTCAGGGGAGGAAACTGGGAGAGGGCGTATCCAGGGCGGGGACTGGAGGGAAGGCGCCTCCGGGGGCGGGGACTGGAGGGAAGGCGTGTCCGGGGCGGGGACTGGAGGGTGGTGCGTCCGGGGGCGGGGACTGGAGGGTGGTGCGTCCGGGGGCGGGGACTGGAGGGAAGGCGCGTCCGGGGCGGGGACTGGAGGGAAGGCGCGTCCGGGGCGGGGACTGGGGGAAGGCGCATCGAGGGAAGGCTTGTGGATGGGGCGAGGACTGGAGGGAGGGCGTCTCTCCCGGGGCGGGGTTTAGGGAATGGCGGAAGTGTCCCGAAGCGGGGCTTGGCGGAAGTGTCCCGAAGCGGGGCTTGGGAGGTCGTGCTCAGAGGCGTGGCGTGGTGTGGTGCGGAGCTTTTTCCGTGGAGCTCAGGGATGCGCCCCCGCTCAGGCGACCCTGCGGTCTTCCGCGACTCTGACCGCTTCTCCTGGCATGACCCGCACCTGTGGCGCTCCGAGAACGAGGCACCTGGTCTCTTCTTCGTGGACGCCGAGCGCGTGCCCTGCCGCCACGACGACGTCGTTTTTCCGCCCAGTGCCTCCTTCCGCGTGGGGCTCGGCCCTGGCGCTGGCCCCGTGCGTGTCCGCAGCATCTCGGCTCTGGGCCGGGTGAGCACTGCGGGGAGGGAGGCTCGGGTCCCCTCTGCCCGCCTCGGCCCGCCCCCCCCCCCGCTGGTCTGCACACGTTGGGTCTGAGCACTCAGGTGATGTCTCTTCCTGGGGCTGGCTCCGGGGGGGACCCGGCTGCCCGCAGACGTTCACGCGCGACGAGGACCTGGCTGCTTTCCTGGCGTCCCGCGCGGGCCGCCTACGCTTCCACGGGCCGGGCGCTCTGAGCGTGGGCCCCGAGGACTGCGCTGACCCGTCGGGCTGCGTCTGCGGCAACGCGGAGGTGAGCGAGGCCGCAGTGGAGTCTCGGGGGCCGCGCGAGGGTCGGGACTGTGCCCGGGACAGGGCCGCCGCGCTCCCGCGGTCTCTCGCCGGCTTGCCTCTCCGGCGCATCGCCCTTCTCGCTGCGGTCCGCTCTGGCCCTCCGCGCTGACCACTGCCCCTCGCACCAGGCGCAGCCGTGGATCTGCGCGGATCTGCTCCAGTCCCTGGGCGGCCGCTGCCCCCAGGCCGCCTGCCATGGCGCCCTCCGACCCCAGGGGCAGTGCTGTGACCTCTGTGGTGAGCGCCCCCGCTGGGCCCTGCTTGCTGGGAAGGCCTGGAGGACCTGGTTCGCCCCCGCCTCAGTTTCCTGCCGGGTCCAGATCCACGGCGCTGACCCCTGCCCTCCCGCTGCAGGAGCTGTTGTGTTGCTGACCCACGGTCCCGCATTTGACCTGGAGCGGTACCGGGCGAGGATACTGGACACCTTCCTGGGCCTGGTAATGGGGCCGCGCGGGCAGCTGAGGGGAGTCCCGACCCCAGCCCTACCGCCTCCGCCTAGGACGCCCCTTCTGCAGGGCCCCTGCGGCCGCCCACCTGCTCACTATCTGCCTCTGCCCTTAGCGTCCCCATAGGCTCGGGGAGGGCGGGGGGCTGAGTCAAACCAACCCCGTCCCCCTCCCCAGCCTCAGTACCAGGGGCTGCAGGTGGCCGTATCCAAGGTGCCACGCTCGCCCCTGCTCCGCGAGGCCGATACGGAGATCCAGGTGGTGCTAGTGGAGACCGGGCCCGAGACGGGCGGCGCCGGGCAGCTGGCCCGGGCCCTCCTGGCGGACGTCGCCAAGCACGGTAACCGCGCCTGCCCGGTCCCTCCCTGCTGCTCCTCGCCCCGCCGCGGGGAAGACTGAGCCGACCCCTCCGTCGCAGGCGAGGCCCTCGGCGTCCTGGAGGCGACCATGCGGGAGTCGGGCGCACATGTCTGGGACAGTTCCGCGGCTGGGCTGGCGGGAGGCGTGGCGGCTGCGCTGCTGCTGGCACTGCTGGTCCTGCTGCTGGCGCCGCCGCTGCTGCGCCGCGCGGGGAGGCTCAGGTACCCGGGGCGGGGTGGCGGGGTGGCGGGGTGGGGCTGGGGGTTGCCCCGAGGGGCTCACGCTACGTCCCTAATACGCACTCAGGTGGAGGCGCCAGGAGGCGGCCCCGGCCGGGGCAACCCTCGGATTCCACAACCCGGTGTTCGACATGAAGGCCTCCGAGGAGCTGGTGAGAGGGCTGGAGGGTGGACTGGGGCCTCCTTGGGGCCAGGACCCTGAACGCCGTCTGACCCTGTCACCCCGCAGCCCCTGCCCCAGCCGCTCAGCCTGGTTCCGAAGGCTGCCGCAGACAGCACGAGCCACAGTTACTTCGTCAACCCGCTGTTCGCCGGGGCTGAGGCCGAGGCCTGAGCGGCCCCCTGACAGTCAACCTTGGGGCTCCCCACCCCCTCTGGCTCCAGAACCTCCCCGACCCCAGTCGATCTGGGGGCTAGCCACCCCCTCGTCCAGCCCCCAAACCTCCCCTTCCTTACCCCCTCCTCCGGAAGCCAAGGACAGGGTGGCCTTACTCAATAAAGGTGTTTCCTGCACCTGCTTCAGCCTGGACATGCCACCCCTGGCCCCGCCCATGAGGACTGGGAGCCCAGTCTTGCACCCTAGTCGTACTGGGGGACATAGGAGGGGTCTAGCTGGCTACTGCTGGAGGCAGCACTGGTCACCACCTGGGTGTCCAGAGGCTGGGGTCTGTGAAGGTGAACCCAGGACTACGAGGGGGTCTTGCCCTACCTTCCGGTGGAGGGAGGGTGAGGAGCTGGAGGGAGGGTGAGGAGCTGGAGAGAGGAGTGGGAGAGAGGCAAGGGGTGGAGGGAGCCAAAGCCTATGCCTGGTGGGGCGGACGGAAAAGGGGTGGGCACCCCTCCTGGCACCAAGCTGCTGGATGCGTCACACTGCGAAGGCAGATCATATGGGGTCACCCATGTGCGTGTACCACTGCACTGACAGACAAGGGCCTGACCCTATGTGTGCAGCTGCAACTGTGGCACAGTGACCACTTCTGTGAAACCAGTATCCGGGGCTGGAGATGTCACCGGCATCCCCAGTCATGGCCTGGCCCCCATGCGGAATCTTCTGCCCAGGGGCCCAGCTTAGCCACTAGGACACGTGCGGTAACCCAGATCAGGGCGCCATGCTGCCAGGCGCGTCTGTGTTGTGGTTGGAATGAGTCACTGTGGGTGCTGTGCAGTGTACCGCTGAGTGACCACCACAGTTCACGCGTGTGCTCCAACAGCTACCATCTTGCATTTTAAAAGTGGCCGACACTCCCACAGGCACTTTTCAGCCACAATTTTCTTTAGTGTCAGGTGCAAACTGGAGAGCAAGCCTGAGCTAACCGGACATCACCTGCCGCCCGCTGCTCACCCCACTCACAGATGCGACTGTGCTGGCAGGGACCTGCCCCTGGTGTGGACTCTGGAAGGAGAGATGCTCTGGACTTCCAGGGGAGCTGCTCGCTGCTGCAGCAGCCCAGGCCATGCTGCCTGGCACACAGCTGCAAGGTCCCAAGTGCCCCCGCTGGGTGCTGGGCTGCCTGCCTTGGCTTGCAGTCTCCTCCCCAGTCCGCACGCTTCTGCAGGGGCCGGCACTGTCCTTATCCTACCAAGACAACTAGGTCTCAGTGAGTGGCAAATAAAAGCCAACTGCCTGCATAACTCGGGAAACTGACTCCGAGCATCCTCTCAACCAGGGTCCACTCACCCGGACCCAGGCCTCCCCGAGAGCTCCTGCCTCTTCCTGGGGCCTCTGGCCTGCCCCATCCTGTCCCTTGGGGCTGCTGGCGGGGTTAGTGTGTATGGGTGTGGACATGAAGACCCTCCTGGGCAGCTCCCTCCTGGGGCCCTGGCGCTGCCTGGCTAGGGCTCACAGGCACGCCGCCTTCCTCCCACCCTTCACTCCTGCCCCAAGGATGCCCTCTGCTCAGACTGAATACCCCAACAGCAACCTTTTATGTGACCTCCGAGTGAGTTACCCAGAAGAGCTTCTGCTGGCAACGTGGCTCCTTCACTGCCTTTTGGAGTTCAGACACTTCTGGGGCCCAGACACACAAGTGACAGGTTATCACATCCAGACGGACCACTGGGAACTTTAAAACTGCCGTCTTCTGCTTTATTGACAGGTAAATTGTTCAAAAATGTTCTCACGATTCAATAATTACAAAGACTCAGACTTACATTAAAAAAGTAAAAACCAGAACCCTCCAGGTGCCCATCCAGCAGAAGGCCCAGGAGGGCAGTGGGGTGGCAGGGCTAGGCGGTGCTGGGCCACTCAGTGCTGACTTGGAGAAGTGCACGTCCTGAACAGCCTTGCCAAGCAGCCGACCGGTGGGAGGACAGGGGAAGCCTGGCCCAAGCTGTGGACAAGCTGTGTCTGCCCCCACAGTTAATCACAAGCCTCTGGCGACACAGGGCCACAGAGCTGGTCACTCAACATCTGGTACGAAGAAGGGTGAGGTGAAATCCCCGCGCAGGGCATTGCCGCGCCGTGGGCTGGGGCCAGTGTGCAGGAGTGTGTTGGGTGGGTCTACGTGATCATACGGGCTACTAACCACAGGGGCTCCATGCAGGGGCAGGACTGGTGGGTGGGGGGCGGCGGGGGGTGTTCCAGTGGCTGCTTCATGGCGCCCTGGGGCTCTGACTCCTCTCAGCCCAGCAGGCCACAGGGCCTGCCTGCACCACGACACTCGCTGGTTTTATGGCAGGAGGCGGAAGCCGTGGAAGTGAGTGGAAAGCAGAGAGCACAGCTGACTTCACAGTAGGAGATACTGGTGACACTTCATGGCTGCGACCCAGAATGAACTGAACGCACACCGGGACGCAGGGTGTCACTGGTCCCGGGCCTCTGGCCATGACTAGGTGGTCACAGGACTTCTGCAGCTGACTGCGATGGCTAAGTGAAAAAAAGGCCACAAACTAACCTCCACTTTCCTCTGTCTTCAAAATTCTAGTGACACTGGGAATGCTATATGACCTCCTACTATTCTCCTAAGGTCCTAGGGAAGTTTCAGGAACTAGGGAAAAGACTGGGTACTGAGGCTGTGTCCCCAGACGTCTGCTTCCGAAGCAGCCGCGTCATGACGGGTTTCTGCTGAGGAAGTGGCGTTGGCAGGGCCCCACATGCCTTCTCGGGTTGTCAGGGGTGGGAGAGAGGCTGTATGGGGGTCCTTCATGTGCAGACGGAACAGTGTCGCCTCATAGCTGTGCAGACGAACAGATGGGGTCTACTGCCACGAACAATGCGGCATAAAACGGATCAATATTATAATAAAGATTTGTCTTCTTCATCTCCATATCTACAAAGTGATTCTACATTTCCTTGGACAACACTGGAGGGCCCGCTCAGTCTTGGCACTGATGCTGGAGGCCATCCCCAGCTCCCGGGCCCCTGCGGCGAGCTGGCGGCTTCAGGTGTCACAGGCCGGCTGCTCCAGGCCTTCGAGGGGGAGCTGGCTCCTGTGGGGGGAGTTGGGGCTCGGTGGGCCGCTGGGGTTGGAGCTGTTCGATGGAGTTGAGTGTTTGGTGGAGTCCGAATCAGGCTGTGAACAGGAAGAGGGCAGGGTGAACACCACTGCCCTAGGCTGGGAGGCTCGCGTGCCCAGCTGGATGCAAATGTTCACTCAGGGACAGCTGTGGCAACTGCTTCTCCTTTCGTGTTATGAGAACACACACACTCTACACCAGCGATTCGTGGGGCCTTAGGCTTGCTGGTGAGAGTCACAAATTGATGTCTAACCCCACTCAAAAATAACATGGTAATTATCATTACAAAAGACAGCAACTCTAGTGAAGAAACCAGATGCGGCTGGATGCGGTGGCTCCCGCCTGTAATCCCAGCACTTTGGGAGGCCAAGGTGCATGGATTGCACTTGAGATCAGGAGTTTGAGACCAGCCTTGCCAACATGGTAAAACCCCATCTCTACTGAAAATACAAAAATCAGGCCGCGTGCTGCGGCTTACGCCTGTAATCCCAGCACTTTGGGGGGCTGAGGCGGGTAGATCACAAGGTCAGGAGATTGAGACCATCCTGGTTAACACGGTGAAACCCCATCTCTACCAAAAATACAAAACATTAGTCGGGCGTGGTGGCATGCACCTGTAGTCCCAGCTGTTGGGGAGGCTGAGGCAGGAGAATGGTGTGAACCTGGGAGGCGGAGCTTGCAGTGAGCCAAGATCACACCACTGCACTCCAGCCTGGGTGACAGAGCGAGACTCCATCTCAAACAAACAAAAATCAGCTGGGCGCAGTGGCGTGCACCTGCAACCAAGCAGTCAAAGTCACAAACACGACACTCTTTCCTGAGAAAAGCACTAGGAATAGAGGGGAACTTCCTCAACAAAATAAAACAGCTAACCATACTCAATGGTGACAGACAAATTTATCCCCTAAGATCAGCAACGGGCTGGGTGTGGTGGCTCACACCTGTAATCCCAGCACTTTGGGAGGCTGAGATGGGCAGATCACGAGGTCGGGAGATCAAGACCATCCTAACACAGTGAAACCCTGTCTCTACTAAAAATACAAAAAAAAAAAAAAAAAAAAAAAAAAAATTAGCCAGGCGTGGTGGAAGGCACCTGTAGTCCCAGCTACTTGGGAGGCTAAGGCAGGATAATGGCGTGAACCCACAAGGCAGAGCTTGCAGTGAACCGAGATTCATGACTGCACTCCAGCCTGGGCAACAGAGTGAGACTCCGTCTCAAAAAAACAAACAAACAAAAAAAGATCAGCAATAAGACAAGGATGCCTGCTTTCACCACTGCTATTCAACATGTGACCAGAGGTTCTAGCCAGAGCAATCAGGGAAGAAAAAGAAATAAAAAGGATGCCAAGTTAGAAAGGAAGTAAAACTATCTCTGTTTGCAGATGACATGATTATACACATAGAAAACCCCAAAGAAAAGAATCCACAGAAAACGAACACATTCAGCAAAGTTATAGGGTATGAGATCAACACATACAAGTCAGCTGTATTTCTATACACCAGAAATGAACACATTGAAAAGGAAACTGAAAAAATTCAATTTACAATAGCATCCAAAAGAATAGCTAGGAATACTTTAACCAGAGAAGTGAAAAATCTGTACACTATAAATTACAAAACATTGCTGAAAAAAATAGCTTACATAAATGGAACACACCCCATGTTCATGGAGTAAAAATATTGTTGATGGCTGTACTAGGCTGGGTACAGTGGCTCATACCTGTAATCCCAGCACTCTGGGAGGCCAAAGTGGGTGGATCATTTGAGGTCAGGAGTTTGAGACCAGCCTGGCCAACATGGTGAAACCCCACCTCCACTAAAAATACAAAAATCAGCCAGGTATGGGGGCAGGCACCTGTGATCCCAGCTACTTGGGAGGCTGAGGCATGAGAATCACTTGAACCCAGGAGACGGAGGTTGCAGTGAGCCAAGATGGCGCCGCTGCACTCCAGTCTAGGCAACAGAGCGAGACTCTGTCTCAAAAAAAAAAAAAAAAAAAAAAAAGGCATTAATGATGAGGAACATAAATGACAACCTATAGAACAAGAGAAGATGCCTGCACATGACATCTCTCACAAGAGACTGGTATTCAGAACACACCAGGAGCTCCTACAACCCAGCCACAAAAGGACAAACCACCCACTTCAAAAATGGGCAAAGGCCTTGAGTAGACATTTCTCTAAAGAAGGTATGGAAATGGCCAACAAGCACATGAAAAGATGTTCAACATAAGCCTTTAGGGAATGCAAATCAAAACCACAATCTGGTACTACTTCAAAGCCACTAGAATGACTATTAAAAAGAAGAAAAACAAGAACAAGTATTGGTGAGGATGTGGAGACATGAGAACGCTCACACTGCTGGTGGAAATCTAAAATGGTACAACTGCTGCAAGAAACAATTTGGTGGTTCTTCAAAAAGTTAAACATAGAATTACCACATAAATCCAGCAATCCCACTCACAGGTATGAACCCGAATGTGAAAACAGGCACTCAAACACATATGTGCACACTCGTGTTCACAGCAGCACCACTCACAACAGGTGAAGGACAGAAACAGCCCAAATGTGCATCAGGCGAAGAATGGGAAAACAAACTGTGGTCTACCCATACAAGAGAGTATTAGTTAGCAACAGAAATGCCAACACTGATACCTGCTACAACGGGGGTGAGCCACAAAAACAGCATGCCAAGCGAAAGCTAGGCACAAAAGGTCAAAACACATTTCTGTAAGAAAGGCCGGGCATTGCATTTCTACGAAATGTCCAGAACGGCGAAATCACAGAACACGACTGGCAGCCCCGGTGCTGACGGGAGGGAGGGAACGAGGAGAGAGTGCTTAAAGGGCAGGGGGTTTATTCTGAAATGATGAAAACGTCTTTTTTATTATGTTTTAGAGACAAGATCTCACTACGCTGCCCAGGCTGGCCCTGAACGCCTCAGGCGATCCTTCCACCTCAGCTTCACTAGTAGCTGGCACTACAGGCGTGAACCATGGCGCCCAGCTAGAGTGGAAATGTTTCTGAATGAGAAAGAGGTGGTGACTGTGCATCTCTGTGGATGTACTAAATGTCACTGAGTTATTCACTTTAAAGGAGTTACTTTGGGCCCAGTGTGCTGGCTCATGCCTGTAATCTGAGCACTTTGGGAGGCCGAGGTAGGAGGACAGCTTGAGCCCCGGAGTTGGGAGACCAGCCTGGGCAACAAAGTGAGACCCTGCCTGTGTATTATTACGAAAATAAAAAAAACAAAGTTGTTGGCCGGGCGCGGTGGCTCAAGCCTGTAATCCCAGCACTTTGGGAGGCCGAGATGGGCGAATCACGAGGTCAGGAGATCGAGACCATCCTGGCTAACACGGTGAAACCCCGTCTCTACTAAAAAATACAAAAACTAGCCGGGCGAGGTGGCGGGCGCCTGTAGTCCCAGCTACTCGGGAGGCTGAGGCAGGAGAATGGCGTAAACCCGGGAGGCGGAGCTTGCAGTGAGCTGAGATCCGGCCACTGCACTCCAGCCTGGACGACAGAGCCAGACTCCATCTCAAAAACAAACAAACAAACAAAAAAACAAAACAAAGTTGTTTTGTGAATTTCACTTAAATTCAAAAGAACAAACAAGGTCATGCAGGTGAGACAGGCACTGGCTGCCTCAGGACACAGCACCCTAAGAGGGACAGTATCTCCTCTGTACAGTGTGACAGCCTAAGACACACTTCGGATCTCATGAGCAGGAAACAGCGGACAAACTCAAACTCAGGAGCATTCCGTAAAGTAACAGCAGTGCTTGCTACAAAATTGTGACTGTCCCACCAGACAAAGACAGGCTGGGGGCCTGCTGCAGAGTAAAGGGTGGAAGAGTAGGATGGACAAAGGACCCAAAAGACAAAGGACTTCCAGAGGAAGAGACGCCGACCTTAGCAGAACCAGCAACATGTGCAAGGCATCTGCCTGTTCATTCGGCAGCCAACGTTAAAACATCTCAGTGCTGGGGCTTAGATGTGTGGTGGAGTGATGGACATGGCCCCTCTGCCTGCATCCCTCCCTCCCTCCCTCCAAGGATGGCGCCGGGGGCTAAGCCCTCAGCTCACTCCTCAGCCCTCAGCACTGCAGCTCCCTGCCTCCCTCGACTGCATTCTCACCCCCCATTCCACACAGGGGAAACTGAGGCCAGAGCAGTGTGGCCAAACTGCACACAAGAATGCCGCCAGCCAGGGTGGGGCTTGTCCTGGAGGCGGTCCCCACACTCTGACACCGAGCGCCATCCCAGCTGAGGGGCAGCAGACAGACCAATGTGGAAAGTCAGCCCAGACCACAGCAACTGCTGGTGTATCGCACTGAAGTACATTAAACAACACAGGAGTCCAGAGGAAGGAGGCAGGTTGGCGGGAAAGTTTCCATTCCTTGTGGGGCAGTGTGACAGCCCCGTCCCGTCAGCATTCCCAAAAGAGCTCGGGGTCTGACCAAGAGACTGCTGCACGGGCCTCCTGGAGGAGGGGACAGCCACCCCTGCCCCTCCCATCACCCTCCCACCGCAAGTGGGGTGCTCTGGAAGGGCTGTGACACCACCCAGGGCCCCAGATCTTTGGGCTGCTTTGCCTCCTGCAGTGGTGGCTCACAGCCTCAGTACTGAACCTGGGCAACTCTCACCTCTTTGTCAAAGTCCTGGTCTGGATCGGACATACTTCTCAGAGGCACGGTCACACCAGGCTCCGATCCACCTACAGAACAAGGACAGCTTTCCTCTTAGGGAGAAAGTCAAGGACAGAATCAAAAGCCTGCAGTCTCCCCATTCCAGCACCCCCTAGCCTCCACCTCCCCGAGGGCTGCAGTGGCCACACTTCCTCCGTACCTGATGAGGGCCACGAGATGTAGGGCTTGTTCCGGGACGGAGGCTGGCGAGCCAGGTTGGTGGGAGCGGGGCCCGGCCTTTCCTCCTGGGAGGGGGGCACAGCACTCTGGGCAGAGACAGCAACACATGAGCATGCATGGTTGACACCCGGTGGGGCCGGCTGCGAAGTGTGTGTGACCTACGGCGGCTGCGGCCTCATGACCTTGATGAGCAAAATGGGGGCCAAGAGGGCTCTCTGGACTGGACAAGGGCTCTGGACAGTATGAAACTAAGAACTGGCAATAGCAACGTTAGGCCAGATCAAATCCTATAAAAAGTGTACTTTTTTGTTTGAGATTGAGTCTTGCTCTGTCCCCCAGGCTGGAGTGCAATGACACGATCTTGGCTCACTGCAACCTCTGCCTCATGGGTTCAAGCAATTCTCCTGCCTCAGCCTCCTGAGTAGGTGGGATTACAGGTGCCTGCCACCACGCCTGGCTAATTTTTGTAATTTAGTAGAGACAGGGCTTCTCCATGTTGGCCAAGCTGGTTTCAAACTCCCGACCTCAGGTGAACCACTTGCCATGGCCTCCCAAAGTGCTGGAATTAGAGGCATGAGCCACCACACCAGGCCTAAAAAACATACTTCTTTTTTTTTTTTTTTTGAGACAGAGTCTTACTCTGTGGCCCAGGCTGGAGTGCAGTGGCGCGATCCACTCACTGCAAGCTCCGCCTCCTGGGTTCACGCCATTCTCCTGCCTCAGCCTCCCGAGTAGCTGGGACCACAGGCTCCCGCCACCGCGCTCGGCTAATTTCTTCCTGTATGTTTAGTAGAGACGGGGTTTCACCGTGTTAGCCAGGATGGTCTGGATCTCCCGACCTCGTGATCTGCCTGCCTCGGCCTCCCAAAGTGCTGGGATTACAGGCGTGAGCCACCGTGCCCGGCCAAAAACATACTTCTCAAGTAAAAAACAAAGTATACCATCTGTTGATATGAGGGTGTTACTGAGAAATCACCACCTGATGGCAAATGTCCTTAGGAAGCCGTCACAGGCCGAAACGTGGCGGACTCTGACAAGTATCTGCAGCATCGCTGCCTGGGGCGGCCCAAGGCCTGCACACAAGGCCTTGTGACAGGGAAAGTGCTTGTGAACAGAGCTTCAGTGGAGACGCACTTGTGCGACAGGTGCGCCAGGTCAGAGCACAGTGCCAGCCTCGCGGGCCCTGCCTTTGGGACGGCCTCAGCCAACACGGCTGCCCGAGCGGGGAGGAGGATGGAATGCCCTGCCCGCCCCATCCCCGCTGTGCACGCACCAGAGGCAGGTCCATGAGCACCTGCATGCCGTCGCCTGGGCCCATGTGAGCCACGTGGTTGAAGTTGGTTGGGTTGGATATCATTTTGGATCTCAATTCTGGGTCTCTAAGCATCTCTCTAGGGAAAGGAAACACTTTTGAGATTCACGGACATGTGAGAATCCTCTTGGCCCCTCCCTAGAGCGAGGCCCGGCTGCCCCGTGAGGCCCCGCTCCTACCGCCTCTGCTGCAGTCTCTCTTCCTCCGGGACCTTGAAGACGAACCGCCTTTTGCTCCTGGTGCGCAGCATCTGCTTCTTGCTGTTGTCGGAGGTGTCCGGCACGTTGAGAACCGCTCCTGCGGAAGCAGAGCGCGCGGTGACGGTGCTGCGGCGCCAGGGACACACGCCCCTCCGACTTCCCTTCCCTCCACTCCTAGTGCAGAGGAAGGCTCACCCGAGAACTTGCTCTTGAAGTAGATCAAGCGTGGAGGCTCACAGTTGAGGAGGTTCAGGCTGCCCTCAGAGTTCAGGGGCCTTATCTGGATTGGAAACCAGGGAGGGACAGTGTAAGTGCGGCCACGCAGACTGCACCGGGAGAAGCCCGCCCGCACCGGACGGCGCCCAGACCTCCTTACCCTGCGCAGGCCGATGGTCTGCACCCACTCCATGGTGCGCACATCAAAGACGTCCACGCCATACTCGCTGTACACCGTGACGTGGGTGGGGCTGCAACCTAGCGCAGACGGAGCAGGGCGGGGTGAGCCACAGTGGCTCGGGAACTCACCTGCCCTTGGGCCGGAGGCCACGCCTTGGCACTTGAACAAGTGCAGAGGCAGCAGCACTGCCTCAGCTGGTTCACGTCACCAAAGACTTCACGCTCCCACTCTGGAATTCATTTTCATTTCAAAGTTTAAACAAACACAATCGAATGTTTAAATGCTCCACCATCGCTCTGTAACTAATATTTTGAATATTATAGTACACGTTGAAGGTGACTTTTTAAAAGTCTGTTTTTTCATTTAGCTCTCATGAGATGTGATTATCCTGAAAGCAAATTCAGGCTCAACACACTGGAAATTCAGGTAGGGGACGACTGTTCAGTATGGTGAGGCTAATTGTTCCATGGGAGATGGCAAGTCAGGCTTCCAGGTAGGTATTTAAACCCACACAGAAACCACTGCTGACCTCTGAGCAACAACCCCGCCTGTCTACCCTCCACACGAACGAGCCTAGACCCCTGGGAACCTGTGCTACGGCAGCGTGGGAGGCCCCTCTGCAGCCTGGTCTGAAGGCATATACAAGTGGGGTAATGGAGTCCTACAGAAGCAACTTCACCCAAGGCGCCAAGGATGTGAGACCAAGAACTGCGGAGCCTTTGGCCATTTGGAGTTTAAGGGGCTTTCTCCATGTGTAGAAGAGCAACAACACAGCTGTGCCATGCGATGGGGGAGCGGTGCGCGTCCACTGCTCGGTCCCTCTGCGTGGGTGGCACTCTCACTGTCCCCACAGCCCCTCAGTGTGGCTTGGCTTCTGGCCTTCAGCTTGCAGAAACGCAGAGCTGGGAGGCGGCAAGCCCCAAATGCAGGAGAGCTCCAGCTCAGTGCTCGTTCCTGGCTCTGCTGCCTCCAGAGTTTAAGGTTAATCCTGCATCATGACACACCTCACTGCCTGAAGATGCATTTTAAAAGCCTTCTGCTCTGTTTCTATCACAGATTCCAAACAGGCTAGAAGATCAGGCCTTTTCTTCTGAATACAAAAAGGAAAATCAAACAGGGTTTGCAAAAAAGACAAAAGATACTGGCCTGGTCACCAAACTGCCTCTGAAGGAGCATTTCAGATGAACCTGTGAGGCCTCTGAGAACCACGTCAAAAGCAGCCCCAGAAACTGCCCTTCAGGGAACCACTCTCCACCCAGGGGCTTCTGGGAAGGCCCTTGCCTGCCAAGTACGTGGGGATTCGCTTGCAAGGAACCACGGAGAAGTCTAGTTTGCTGACTCAGTGATAAACAGATGCCCAGTGAAAAGATTCTAGTGAAACAGATTCTAGTGAAAAGAACACGGGCTCTGGAGCCTGACAGATGTTACATGTGACTCATGTGCACACAGCCCCTGTGGCCCTCAGCTGCCTCCTCTGCAACAGGGCTGATGACACCTGCCCTAAGGGATGGGGAGGAGCAGGAGAGGCTACCTACACAGGGCGCTCAGCACAGGGTGCAGAATGAGCAGTTCTGCATCCTACAGGTGACAGAATTACTTTTGACCAGCTCTGAAACTCATCTGCATCTGCACTGTGCCCACAGGGGAGAGGAGACCCACCAAGGCAGAGAACCCAGGAACTTAGGTGTCTATGACAGACACATGTGGCCAGGATCATAAATACACTGCAATAAGTGACCTGGGTCCTCTTTAACGTTACATTTTGCAAAAATGTAAATTCTGTGTGGTTTCAAACCCTGTGCTGGCTGCCCAAGAAGAGGACAGGGTGTTGGGGGAAGACTCCAGGACGAGGGGTGCTGAGGCAGTGGGACTGGCCCCTTTCTGCACCTCACTCCAGGCCCATGGCCTGGCCCCACTGCCCACACGTCTGCTGTGGTATGGCCATCAGGATGGAGCTGGGACACACTGCAGTAAGCCCCTGTGGGTGGAGGCTGGCCATGCACCTCACAGGCCTGGTGTCTAGCCATGATGCCCTGGGTATGCTGCTGTCTCAGCAAGGCCGACAATGGGGCAGACAAAGGGGTTTAGCTTCAGGTAACTGAAGGAGAACATAATTCCCCATCTCTTGCCCTGTTACCCCCCCCCCACCACATCTGCCCAGCTTGTCTTCCGGCCTCCTCTTGATCTGTGGATTTGATGGTGCAGGCTACTCTGATAGATCAAACAGAGGGATTCTGAGGTTTAAGGTTTCCTTTCCATTTTAAGAGACACTGTCCCCCAGGCTAGAGTGCAGTGGTGTGATCATGGCTCACTACAGCTTCCATCTCCTGGGCCCAAGCAATCCTCCTGTTTCAGCCTCCCAAGTAGCTGGGACTATAAGCATGTGGCACTGAGCCTGGTTAGTTTGTTTGTTTGTCTGAGATGGAGTCTTTTTCTGTTGCCCAGGCTAGAGTGCAGTGAGTGGTACAATCTTGGCTCACTGCAACCTTCGCGTCCCGGGTTCAAGCGATTCTCCTGCCTCAGCCTCCTGAGTAGCTGGGACTACAGGCATGTGGCACTGAGCCTGGCTAGTTTGTTAGTCTGAGACAGAGTCTCACTCTGTTGCCCAGACTAGAGTGCAGTGGCATGATCTTGGCTCACTGCAACCTCCGCGTCCCGGGTTCAAGCGATTCTCCTGCCTCAGCCTCCTGAGTAGCTGGGACTACAGGCATGCACCACCACGCCCAGTTAATTTTTTTTTTTTTGGATTTTTAGTATAGACGGGGTTTCACCCTATTAGCCAGGATGGTCTCGATCTCCTGACCTCGTGATCTGCCCGACTTGGCCTCCCAAGGGATTACAGGTGTGAGCCATGTTTTGTTTCTTAATAGAGACAAGGCTGGTATCGAACTCCTGAGCTCAAGTGAGCCTCCTGCCTCAGCCTCGCCCGGTGCTGGGATTACAGGTGTGAGCCACCGCTCCCCGCCCAGTTTAAGGTTTTAAAAGCAATCGGACAGCGGGCCAGTCAGGAAGTGTCCACTGGTCCTACTTTCCCCCAGTGCCACCATTCACAGAGAAAGTCACATCAACTAAGCGAATTAAGTGACCCAACTGTTTGAAAAACAGCTCCTACCACTTTCAGAAGACACTTGCTCTCCCAGGGGGAACTGTAACTTAGACACCAGGGGTGAATTTTTTTCTGGCCACCAAAACCCCTCAAGCTTGTCTTTACTACTGTGTAAGTTTCTGTATTATCACAAGGAAGGCCTTTTCAATGAGTGATGAATGCCACGCCCTGTTCTCGGTTCGCCGAGCCCTTCTGCCCAGGGGCCTATGCCCGCCAATGGGGTCTTCTGCTGAGGCCTCTGGAAGAACTGGCCCCACGTGCTCAGGGAGAGGTTGCTGAGCCCGCCCACTGCTGGTCTGAGATGTGAGATCTCAACCGCACTGTGGGCTGTCATGGAGCCCATCTCTCCTGATGCTCTGACTACTCAACTAAGGGACTGGAAGACAAACCAAAGCAAAATCGAACACATGCTGACTGTCGGTGGGAAAAGCAGCAACAGGGATATGCAACAGAAAACATATACATACTACAGGCGACAGGAGCCGCAGGCCACATGAGCTCCTGCGCGCGTGCCCTCCGGCCTTGCGGGTCCACGTACAGTCCCATGTGGCTGAAGCAAAGCAGGTACTCCTCGCTTTCGAGCTCCACAGCACAAAGGGCATCAAAAGACTGTTGTGAGAGGAACGCAAGCGAGGGGTCATTGGGATTTACCAGGTTTAGAGGCTGCCCGTCCCCCTGGATGCTCAGCAGGCAGAACCCCGAGGGGTAGCCCACACAGAGCCTGTCCCTGAGCACCGCCAGGCACTGCACGCTGCCGGGAGCCACAATCTCATTGAACTTTCTGTGGAATGGCTTCGTTCTCTGGATCTCATAGCAAAGGATCAGCCGTTTCACGGCCACAAACAGGCAGGTGCCAGAGTTCCTCTTGAGTGTGGCCGTGGCCATGAGCTGGCAGCCTTTGGTTTCCGGAAGCTTGATGTCAAAACTGCCTTCCGCTCCATCAAGGGATGACCATGGATAGAGGTGCACATGGTGGTTCCGGCCACAGAGGAGGATTACGATCTTCTCTCTGGGAGCAAGCTCGATCTGGTGCACCTTCTTACAGTCAGCGGCACGGACGATCACTGTGGCAGGGAGGACAAGAGCGTGAGGCCAATGGGACAGCCAGCAGCTCACTCACAGGGGCTGACGGCCTTGGCTAAGGACCTGCCTGGAACACCCTGGGGCCCTCCCTCGGGCTCCCTTCCTATGTGCACAGCCTGAGCCCAGCCCTGAGCCCATCTCTGCCCACAGAGCCAGCGGCTTGAGTGCCCCCCGGAGAAGCTGCCCCACACATCCACAGTGCGCTCTTAGGGCAGCCTCGGGGGCCAGTCTGAAGGCTCCTCCGCCTCTGCTGCTGTGCACACCCCTCAGTGCACCAGGGCTCCAGCTGGGCTGTGCTTCCACCTGGGCCTTCGTGAAGCGAGGCCCTGGGGTGATCTGGGCCTCCTTCCAGCTCATCCCCGAACCAGAGAGCCCTCGCGCTGCACATGAGGAACAAAGCTGACTCCAACCCACTGGGGCCCTGAGACAAATCCTCTGAAGACACCGAGCTCACACGGCCCCCAGCTTAACCCAAGCCCCTCGCTTGCTCAGGATCTCCCCACAGAGCTGCCAGGCTACGGCCTCACCCAGCGGCTGCCCCACCCTTCTTGCTCCATGGCCATCACGTGCAGAGATGCTGGGTCTGTCGGGAAAGGACTACAGCTCACATGAAATGTTACTGGATTCCTTGGGGGATGCTCCCCAGGGTCCCTGTCCCCTGCCCAGGGCCAGTTCCAGTCTCCTGACGTTTCTGCTCCTAGACCCACAGCTGTGGAGCGGGTGCATGTCAGGATACCTTTGCCCTCCCTTGCTGGGAAGAGTGAAAGTGTCAAAATTGGAAGCAAAGAAACTAAAGCTTCTCAAGTGAAGCCTCAGCACATGTGGAACATCTGTAGCTGTTCCTCCTTTCCTTGGCCCCGCCACCCACTCCCACTCAGTGCTCCCCTTGAAGAACTCAATGGATGCGACATGGAACTGAGCACCATGTCACCATGCACTCGATGCTGGTCTCCACGGCACTCTGGCCCCTCTGGCGCCTTCATCAAGCGCATTTGTCTTAACCCTTAGAAGCTACTGACCCTGTGCTGTCTGCAGAGGCCAGGCTGGGCCTGTGACATCCCAGGCTGGAACCCCCTGCTCACTCACCATCTCGGGTGACCTCTATGACATAGAGCCCTTCTTCTAGGCCGACTGCAATCCTGTCTGCATCTGTGGAGGGGTAAGTAACGTACACAAAGTCAGTACAGCTGACCGTGAACAATATGGGTTTGAATGCGTGGGTAGGCTCATTCACAAATATTCACAGATACTTTTCAACCACGTGTGGATGAGAATACAGCATTCCAGGGATGTGACACTTCAGTATCGGGGGTGACTTTCTGTCCATAAGGACTCCACAGGGCCGGCTGACTGTGGGATTGAGTCTGCGAGGATTTGGGTGTGTGGGGGGCTCCTAGAGCTGACCCCCAGGCTTAGCCAGGGCCGACTGTACTGTCCACACAGGTCATCTGCTTCTTAACATGCATGGAGAAACTGTCTACAAACCCAAATGGACAACCCGCCTGTGACCTTCCTCTGATTTTCAGATGGGCACCACAGCACTGCTGAAAGTGCTGTTGCTTCCGACACTTAAAGGACACAGCCTCTGGGACGTACCCACGATGGCAGCTGTTAGGACGGCCTTGATGAGAGGCAGCGAGCTGTCGTAGGCTTCCAAGGGAACATGCACGACCTGATTCCTCAGCCGGTTTTTATGAAGGATGGACTGGAGTCCTTCTAGAATCCCAACCCACTTCCTCTTTTCATTCTCATTTTCTGTCAGAATGAGCAGCGAGCTGGTCTTAGAAGGTGCACCTAAGAGAGAGGCCGTCACCTTCATGACAGGAAACAGAAGAAAAGAGAGAAGCCATCAAACACCAAAGCTGCACACAGCTGCCACGGCCCTGCTGGAGCCACGCACCCCAGGAGCAACGGGGGCTGATGTGCTTCCCAGGCGGGGACCCCTGACTCCACCTCACTGGGCGCCTTGCAGGGGCTCCCACAGCAGGATATGGAAGGGGCGGGGTTCTAAACAGCCCATGAGATCGCTTCCTGCTCTCATTTTCATTAATTCTCCTTTTGCCAAAACTATGAGTAGCTGCCTACTTTAAATCTGCTTTCTTTCTTTTTTTTGAGACGGAGTCTCGCTCTGTCGCCCAGGCTGGAGTGCAGTGGCGCGATCTCGGCTCACTGCAAGCTCCGCCTCCCGGGTTCACGCCATTCTCCTGCCTCAGCCTCCCGAGTAGCTGGGACTACAGGCGCCCACAACCGCGCCCGGCTAATTTTTTTTTTTGTATTTTTAGTAGAGACAGGGTTTCACCGTGGTCTCGATCTCCTGACCTTGTGATCCCCCCGCCTCGGCCTCCCAAAGTGCTAGGATTACAGGCGTGAGCCACCGCGCCCGGCCTAAATCTGCTTTCTTGAATAATCATTATAAATAAAAGCAGATTCTGAAAATGTGTCCAGGAAAAGCAGATCTGAAAAACACTGGTCCAAATCATGCCTCCCTGGGAGCAGCCTCTGAGCACACACATTACCAAATGACCATCACTCCAGTAACAATGATGGCAATTTCCTGTACTGTGTATGGGAGGTTGTTTCTGAATAGAGCTATGATTTAGTGAAAGCTAATTTATAGACTGAGTTTTGCTGTCAACCAAAATTTTACTGTGTTTATAAAAAAATTCCCAATGGAGGGGGCTAGAGGGCTTCTTTCCCCAATTCAGTCTTCTAGAAACATCCTAATGCTACAATGTCTAACACTAACTCAGTGAGGGACTCACTCACTCAGCCAACAAAAACACTGGCTCCAATTGGCTGGGGGGCACTGGAGCGGCACCTTCACGCCTAACCCACCACAGCGCCTGCCTGGCAGTGCACGCTGAGAGGACAGTGGCCGGGACGTGGACCGGGTGGAAGAGGAGTTTCCGATGTAGCAGAAGGGAGGCTCAGTGAAGTAGGGTGTCTGGGAAGAAGCCAGCCAGGAGGCTCCCCGAGACGGGCACAGGCAGCTACTTGGCCAGGACAGGACGCACAAGGACCTGGAGCCAGGCTGGAGGCCGAGACCCGAGGGTCACACTGGAGGTGCGCTGGTGGCTGCTGCAGCACAATGACATGCCTGGAATAATCAGTTTTAACCATGTGCTTTGTTAAAAAGATTAATGAAAAATTCATACCCTGAATATACATGGAATATCTCGGCGTGTAGCATGAATGACATCTGAGGCCAGGACTGAGCTCACGGAAAACTCGTCATCTCTGGTAAGAAAGAAACATTCAGCCCGCTGGGAGACACACACACACAGGGCCCGAGGCCCTCCCACGCCCTGCCCGCGCCCTGCCCTGCCGTGTCCTTCCACCCCCGTGTTCTGCAGTGGAGGGCGGGCCCCTCGCCCACGCAGATGTAAGAAACACGGGCAGGGCCAACAAACACCTCAAGACTCTGGGAGGTGTTTCAGGGCTTAGGAATGCCGAAGGGAAGCCCCGGAGCCTCACCCACTCTGTGCTGGTGCCTCCAGACTATGCCAGTTACAGACAACGAGGTCTGCATTTGGCACAGCCAGGCAGTCCCTCCACAGCCACGTGCACAAGACAAGTGGGGTGAGGGGTGTGGAGGTGAAACAGGGAGTTGGGGGGAGTGAGGGGTGGGCGTGGAGGTGAGGGGGAAGTGGGGGTGGGCGTGGAGGTGAGGGGGAAGTGGGGGGTGGGTGTGGAGGTGAGAAGGGGAGGAGTGGGTGTGGAAGTGAGGGGGGAGTGCGGGGTGGGTGTGGAGGTGAGACCGAGAGTGGGGGGTGTTGGGTGTAGGTGAGGGGGGAATAAAGGGTGGGGTGGGTCTGGAGGTGAGAGGAGGAATGGGGGGGTGAGTATGGAGATGAGGGGGGAGTGGGGGGTAGGTGTGGAGATGAGAGGGGAAGTTGGGGTGGGTGTGGAGGTGAGGGGGGAGTGGGGAGTGGGTGTGGAGGTGAGGGGGCAGTGGGGGATGGGTGTGGAGGTGAGAAGGGGAGTGGGAGGTGGGTGTGGAGGTGAGGGGGGAGTGCAGGGTGGGTGTGGAGGGGAGGGGGAGTGCAGGGTAGGTGTGGAGGTGAGACAGAGAGTGGGGGGTGTTGGGTGTAGGTGAGGGGGGAGTAGGGTGTGGGGAGCGGGGTGAGTGTGGAGGTGAGGGGGGTGGGGTGGGTTTGGAGGTGAGAGGGGAGTGGGGGTGTGGTCAGTGTGGAGGTGAGGTGGGTAGGGGAGTGGGGGGTGGGTTGGGAGGTGAGGGGGGTAGGGGAGTGGGGGGGTAGGTTTGGAGATGGGGGTTGGGTGTGGAGGTGAGGGGGTGGGGTGGATGTGGAGGTGAGTGGGGAGTGGGGGTGGGTGTGGAGGTCAGGGGGTAGGGGAGTGGGGGGGGGGTTTGGAGGTGGGGGGAGTGGGGGGTGGAATGGGTGTGGAGGTGAGGGGGTGGGGGAATGGGGGTGGATGTGGAGGTGCGGTTGGGTGTGGAGGTAAAGGGGGTGGGGAGTGGGGGTGGGTTTGGAGGTGGGGGGGAGTGGGGGATGGGTTTGGAGGTGAGGAGGGGTAGGGGAGTGGGGGGTGTGTTTTGAGGTGAGGGGGGTAGGGGAGTGGGGGGTGTGTTTTGAGGTGAGGGCGGTAGGGGAGTGGGGGTGTGTTTTGAGGTGAGGGCGGTAGGGAGTGGGGCTGTGTTTTGAGGTGAGGGCGGTAGGGGAGTGGGGGGTGGGTGTGGAGGTGGGTTTGGAGGTGGAGGGTGGAGGAATGGGGGATGCGTTTGGAGGTGGGGGTGGGGGAGTAGCGGGTGGTTTGGAGGTTGGGGGGTGGGGAAGTGGGGGGTGGATTTGGAGATAGGGGTGGAGGAGTGGTGGTGGTTTTGTAGATGGGGGATGGGGGAGTGGAGGGTGGGTTTGGAGGTGGGGAGTGGGGGGGTTGGGGGTGGGGGAGTGGGGGGGGGGGTGGGGGGTGGGTTGGAGGTTGGGGGGGTGGGGGAGTGGAGGGTGAGTTTGGAGGTGAGGGGTGGGGGAATTGGGGGTGGGTTTGCAGATGGGGGGTGGGGAAGTGGGGGTGGGTTTGGAGGTGGGGGTGGGAGAGTGGGGGTGGGTTTGGTGGTGGTTGGGAGTGGGGGTGGGGTGGGTTTGAAGGTGAGGGGGGTAGGGGAGTGGGGGGTGGGTTTGGAGGTGGGGTAGTGGGGGGTGGGGAAGTGGGGGGTGGGTTTGGAGGTAGGGAGTGGGGGAGTGGAGGGTGGGTTTGGAGATGGGGAGTGGGGGGTGGGTTGGAGGTTGGGGGGTGGGGGAGTGGAGGGTGGGTTTGGAGGTGGGTGGGAGTGGGAGTGGGTTTGGAGATGGGGTGGGGGAGTGTTAGATGGGGGAGTGGGGGGTGGGTTTAGAGGTGGGGGTGGGTATGGAGGTGAGGGTGTGGGGGAGTGGGGGTGGGGTGGATGTGGAGGTGCGGGTGGGTTTGGAGGTGGGGGGTGGGGGAATTGGGGGTGGGTTTGCAGGTGGGGGGTGGGGGAGTGGTGGTGGTTTTGTAGATGGGGGATGGAGAAGTGGGGGTGGGGGAGTGGTGGATGGGGGAGTGGCAGGTGGGTTTGGAGGTGGGTGGTGGGGGCGTGCGGAGTGGGTTTGGAGGTGGGGGGTGGAGGAGTGGGGGGTGGCGTGGGTGTGGAGGTGAGAGGGGGAGCAGGGTGTGGGTCACTGTGGAAGTGCTGTTCTGAAGAGGCTCCCTGAAGAGTGCTTAGCCCTCTGATGGGACCCTTGACTTTGGCTTAGGCCAATTTTTTGTCTACCAGTGGCTCTTTGTCACCAGGTCAGGGGCACAGCTGTACACAGCCAGGGACTGGCAGGTGCCCCGGGGGGGTGGGGCACGGAAAGTGGGAGTATGCTGCCAGGTGATCCCGACTCATCCTTGCTGTCCTCAGGGTACCTGCCCAGCAGCCCTGCCCCAAGAACCAATGCTACAGATGGAGTCTCTAGGCCCTGCCTGAGCCCAGAGCAGTCCTGTGTGCACCACGTCAGAGACAGTGCGCGGCCACTGCACAGAGAAGCCACAGAGGCGGCAGCACAGCTCCGTGTGCAAGCCCTGGGCTGAGCTAGGCCTCTTAGTGATGTGTTTACCTTCACAACACTCCACATGCCAGTAACATGACCACTGTCCTCATCTCACAAACAGATGGGCCACAGATATCAACTGTAGGAGAAAGTGGGAAGGAGGCCCCGCCTGCTCCTGCAGCTGACACTGGGTGGCACTGAGACAGGGTCACACAGCAAAGGCCATGGTCACACACACCCACATGGCCCATGGCTCCAGACTTCGTCCACAAGCCAAGAGCCCCTGCCCCGGTCTCTAAAATGCACACACGGCTGTGGGCTGCACAGCTTTTCTCCGGGATGTCTTCTGCTTGTTCTTGGGCATGTGGTTTTCCAATGTTAAATTAATTCCCCTGTGGCAAACTTTTCAATGCAAACACATGCAAGGCAGGCAGCGTCTACAGCGCTCATGTTCCTGTGCATGCAGGCCCATAAGCACGTCTGCTCATAGGCATGTGAGTGCTTTATGTCATGACTAAGCTGTACCCATTTTTGCAACCGTACAATAATGAAGCGGGTGAAGTATACATGAGGTGAAAGATTACCAAGGAACACACTGTCCTTTTGGCTAAAGATAGATAAGGAAGATTCACAGAGCAAGGACAGTGCTGCCCAAACACAGACCTGAGATCCAAGACTTGGCTCGCAATGACACCAGGCTGGGTGGATTTTCCTTCAGGCAGATCATACAGGAAGAGCTTGCAGTCACAGACGACTGCATATGCACGCTGCCATCCCTTCTTCACCCCCGTGGGCTTTGGGACCTATTAATAAAAACAAACAGTGGCCACGTTCCACCAGGCCAGGCAGGCCGCCAGGCCCCATTACACTCGTTCACAATCTCCTTCCAGCTGCCAGGCCGGCAAACAGAGCTATCTGCACAGAGGGGGTTTTCCCAAGAAGGCTCAAGGCATTGCTGGGGAGGGGCCCATGCGTGGCAGCAGACAGTGCCAGGAAAGCTGGCAGCTCAGCCAACGTTGCGTCCACCCCATGCAGGGTGCTGTGGTACCCACAGCCTGACAGTCTTGTAGACGTGGGCCTGGCACAGTGGCTTTCAGACTGAGCTTCTGTCCACTGGCCGGACACTCAGCCCAGGATGGACTCTGAGTGAGCGTCTGCGTGGAGGCCTCAGGATGCCCAGGCCATTCAGAACAGCGGCTGTGCAGACCTGATGGCCTCAGTGCCCAGGAGGGGAAGCCTCCTAGGACTGGCACCAGGGCTGCCTGCCAGAGCAAGGGGCTGCTTTCAAGAGTGGCTGGGCATGGCTATTGGTCCCTGCACCTCACAGGCACCGACAGCTGAGGGGTGGAGATGAAACCGCCTACCTTGACATGGCCTTTGTAGGCTGTTCCGATGCCTCGCTGCACATCCACGCCCAGAGGCCTCTTGGACTGCTCAGGAGGTATTGGGCACACCTGGGGGGCGCTGTCTTTGCAGGACACGTGGCAAGCAAAAGAACACACTGGAAGAGAGCAAGAACACTGCCTTCAAAGCGTGCTGCCCACAGAGAAGTCACTGCCACTGCAGAACCTATGCCCGAAAGAGGCAATTTAATAATTACCAGGCCTCGCCTGGAATCCCAGCACTTTCGGAGGCTGAGGTGGGCAGACCACTTGAGGTCAGGAGTTTGAGACCAGCCTGGCCAACATGGTGAAATCCCGCCTTTATTAAAAATACAAAAATTAGCCAGGCATGGTGACATACACCTGTAATCCCAGCTACTCGGGAGGCTGAGGCAGGAGAATCGCTTGAGCCCGGGAGGCGGAAGTTGTAGTGAGCTGAGATCACACCACTGCACTCCAGCCTGGGAGACACAGCGAGACTCTGTCTCAAAACAAAACAAAACAAACAAAAAATAATGACCAAGTTTCACATCAAGTCCAGATATCCAAGAAGGTAAAACCAGTTGCAGGGCAGAATCCACACAAAAGCTCAGGGATTCTGGCACTGAATGCGTCCTCAGCATGCGCACAGGGAAAGGGCCCACTGCAGAAGCCTGTCTCCATGCTGTCCCCGCCGGCCCGGGCCGCCTCCCGCACAGGTGAGCTTCTACACGGCAATTACAGGCCAATGGTCATGGGGACGTGGGATCTTGGCAGCCAATCAAAACGTGCATGAGTTGAAATAACAAAAAACAATGCTTCTGCTATAATGTAGAATGAAGGGCAACTCTGCTCACAGACCCATGGTCAGGAAGGCGTGAGTGCTCACAGCCAGTGAGGTCTGGGCTCCAGGACCCTCCTGCAGCACTGGGTGGCTTGGGGTGGTTGCTCATCTGTGAAATGAGGCAATCACTGAGGGGGTAAGAGCATTTCAAATCCCAGCACAGGGCAAGAGCACAAGATACAGCCTTAAAAATTCGATGGGCTGAGTGAGGTGGCTCATACCTATAATCCCAGCACTTTGGGAGGCCGAGGCAGGTGGATCACTTGAGGTCAGGAGTTTGAGACCAGCCTGGCCAACATGGCGAAACCCCATCTCTACTAAGAACACAAAAATTAGCTGGGCATGGTGGCGTGCGCCTGTCCCCAGCTACTTGGGGGTATGAGGCAGGAGAATCACTTGAATCTGGGAGGCAGAGGTTGCAGTAAGCTGAAATCGAGCCACTGCACTCCAGCCTGGGCAACAGAGTCAAACTCCGTCTCAAGAAAGAAAAGAAATGAAAAGAAAGAAAAGAAAGGAAAGAAAGAAAGAAAAGAAAGAAAAGACAAGACAGACAAGAAAGGAAGGAAGGAAGGAAGGAAGGAAGGAAGGAAAGAAAGAAAGAAAGAAAAGAAAAGAAAAGAAAAAAAGAAAAAAAGAAGGAAGGAAGGAAGGAAAGGGAGGGAGGGAGGGAGGGAGGGAGGGAGGGAGGGAGGAAGGAAGGAAGGAAGGAAGGAAGGAAGGAAGGAAGGGAGGGAGGGAGGGAGGGAAGGAAGGAAGGAAGGAAAGAAGGACGGAAGGAAGGAAGGAAGGGAAGGAAGGAAGGAAAGGAAGGGAGGGAGGGAGGGAGGGAGGGGAGGAAGGGAAGGAAGGAAGGAAGGAAGGAAGGAAGGGAGGGAGGGAGGGAGGGAAGGAAGGAAGGAAGGAAGGAAGGAAGGGAAGGAAGGAAGGAAGGAAGGAAGGAAAGGAAGGAAAGAAAGGAAGGAAAGAAAGGAAGGGAGGAAGGGAGGGAGGGAGGGAAGGAAGGAAGGAAGGAAGGAAGGAAGGAAGGAAGGAAGGAAGGAAGGAAGGAAGGAAGGAAGGAAGGAAGGAAGGGAAGGAAGGAACGATGACCAGAAGCAGAGACAAATAATTGTGGTTATCTCTAGATAATCTGATAGTGGAAGGTTTTACACAATTATTTTTCCTGATTTTCAAGAACAGCTGCAGACGATACACTTTATAATAATTCTCAATGGAAGATCTGGGTCACCACAGAGGCGCAGAGTGCACTGGAGCCCCCAGCACAGCAGGGATCCACGGTTCCACAGACCTTTACTGAGGATTTGTAAAAATAAACCTGCCAGGCTGGGTGCCGTGGCTCACGCTGGGTGCCGTGGCTCACGCCTGTAACCCAGCACTTCGGGAGGCTGAGGCGGGAGATCGCTTGAGTCCCAGAGTTCGAGACCAGACTGGGAAACAAAGTGAGACCCCCACTCTCTACAAAAAAATTTAAAAATAGCCAGGTGTGGTGGGGTGTGTGTGTCTGTGCTCCCAACTACTTGACAGGCTGAGACAAGGGAATTGCTTGAGCTGACCTGTGACTGCACCACTGCACTCCAGTCTGAGCTACAGAGTGAGACCCTATCCCCCCACCCAAAAAGAACCAAACCCTGTCCTCAAATAATGCCAATCAAACTTCACTTCAGTTTGGTTTGCTTGCATAAGGGCTGCCCTGGCGCTTGCTGGTGCCCTGAGCGGCAGGGGTGTGGGGCTGTGCACGCTGACCCGGGGAGCTGCAGCGACACTCACCCTCGCAGGCGTAGCCCTGCCGGATCAGCCCAACCATCAGGGAGGTGCAGTGGCTGCACTGAGTAGGGCTGGAGAAGGACTTGATGCTGAACTGGTGAGCTTTTGGCTGGAAGGAGAAAATCAAGAACACTGAGGTAAACCATGGACTCCTGAGAAGAGTCAGATCCATCTGCCTGTGATCCAGTTTATACACGGCTTGGGCATTATCCTGAAAAGGTGGAAATGTGCACGTTCTGGTCTTGGTCTACGTGTTCCCTAACAGGGCTCATCAAATAGTGGTGAAAACCACCTACGAGCCTAAGCCAGAGACAGGCCAACAAATACGTCCTTCAGTGGGAGAGCACTGCTACCAAACAGCGAGGTCAGCTGGGCCAGAGCGCCAAGGTGGCATGGCCAATGCTCTTTCTGGCTCACGCTCCTGGCCTCCTGGAGACCAGCACCAACTGGCTCTTGGGGGCCAACCTGGGGTCACATTTGGGTTGGGCTGCACACAGGCCTTGCATGTGTCCAAGACACACACAAGAATCACCTACAGGAGAACAGTTCACAATAGCAAATGCCTAGAAAGGCTCATGGTCCCTCATCGGGAGTGGACACACTGTGATCCCAGCGGCAATGGAAGCAGCCCCAAGGCTGAACGGAGGGACGTGGTGCAGGCCATGCGGGACCGCCTGTTTACAAAGCTCAGGCGCAGCAGAGACCAATACGATCCTCAGCAGGACACAGATGTGGGTGAGACCACTGGCAAGAAGTAGGGGAGTGACCGACACAAACTCCAGAGACCTGCGGGGGAAGAGGCTGGCTGAGGTGGGCAGGGAGGCCGTGGGGCGGTGCCCGGGCCGTCACAACTAGGAGCAACACACCAGCAGTCTGCAGAGCTGCTGCTATCAAATATGGTAACCAAATAAATGACCTCTTGACTTGGTCCCTGACTCTGCAAGAGTCTCAGTCCAAAAGGCAAACCCTTAATTAGCCTCATACAAGTCTGGCTTCTTACGTCCAGCTGGCATAGCTGCCTGTGGCAGGAAGCACAAGCAGAGGCCGTGTCTATATTAACAACTAAAACCACCTTAGGCCACAGGGCTATGTACTCGCAATGCTTGGAACTCGGGGGCCTGTCACCCTGGAGACTTTCTGATCTGCGTTGATATTTATACGAAAGAAAAGGGGATGTTACAGAAGAAGCCAAGGCCAGGACTTGGGAGCAGGGGCCCAGTGGGGTCCCCGTGCTGGCGCTCCAGGATGCACTTGTGAAAAGCATGAGGCTCAGAACCGCACACGCACTGCAGTGCCGCTTATGCCGAGTCATTCTTACCCACCAGCCACACGGTTCTGTAAGGTTCCCAAAGTGCAGGCAGACAAATGAAAGTCAATGTGGAGGAGTAAGCTGCCTATCCGTGGAGAGGGGAATATGGCTTGGGGAATGAGACGAGAGTAGGGAGACCAAAAGCTGAACATTTCTGATTAAAATATATTTGTGTAGCATTGGTGTCATTAAGAAAACACAGGATCCTGACAGTTTCCTGAATTACACACCATTCTCAACAAATTTCCTACAGAACACCAGGGTCACTACTGTGTGTACGCAAAAATGACTAAGTCTGTTTTACTTATACAAAAGTTATTTTCTAAATAACTGAGAATAAATAAACAACTAAATAACTAAGAAGGCGCCCCGGGTGAAAGCAAGGCCCCTACCTTCGGTCCAGCCAGAGCCAGGGCCTGCGTGGTGGGCAACGGCACAGCGGATGGCCTCTGCGGGGGCCGAGCCATGTCCTGGGAGACAAGCAGGACAGGTGAGTGTCGGCCCAGCTCAGCACGGCTGAGACACCTGGCCCCACGGGGTGCACTTCTCTCAAGAATGTGTTAACAGCGAACAGTTCTGCATCTTTAATTTGCTACAATGTTGAGACATCTGCTGAAGCCTTCCTCATCTAGGGGAGGGACTGACAGTTAATTCTCAAAATGAAAGGTGGGCTTGAGCACCTGGGCAGAGGCCCTCGCTGCAAGCTGTTATGCAGGGGCCAGGTGAGCGGTGTCTGGTCACCTGGACACGAGGGCAGACCCCAGGTGGGAGCATCACCAAGGCAACGCTGTCTCACCTCCTGTTGCTCTGATGCAGCCACAGACATCGATGGGGACGTTTCTGGCTTCGGAGCTTGTGTTTCTTGCTCACTAGCTGAGCTGGTCTGTGAGAACCAAGAAAGAAAGAGTTGGGTGAAAGGACATACTCTACATGACCCAGACTCGACTTACAAGTTCTTTACTAATAAAAGCACATTCTGTCTGGCCCAGAGGTCCCAGCGGTTCTTACTCCTGGATCCTATCACCCCTTGGGTCTCCTCACAGACTCCTGCTCCACTCCTAGCTGGCCGGCCTACCCTGAGGACCCCTGCACTTGGCATCCTCGGCTGAGTGGTGATCGCGTGGGCAGGTGAGTCTGACAAGTCACAGTCACCCCACTGAGGTGAGAATTTGCCTGGAGACACTTCTAATGCATAGCCCTGAGCACACCGCCGCCTCCTACAGCCTCCTCACCCTGGCCACTGAAAGGGCAAGACCTGGAAACGCCCATCCTTCCTGACCTTTATTCATAAGTAAGGTTACCCAACCTAGCAGCCTTCAGATCAATTAGCCAGGCAGGGCGCGGAGGCTCACGCCTGTAATCCCGGCACTTTGGGAGGCTGAGGTGGGGATCACCTGAAGTCAGGAGTTTGAGACCAGCCTGGCTAACATGGCAAAACCTCGTCTCCACTAAAAATACAAAAATTAGCCGGGCGTGCTAGCACACACCCATAATCCCAGCTACTCTGGAGGCTGAGGCACGAGAATCGCTCGAACCTAGGAGGTGGACGCTGCAGTGAGCCGAGATCAAGCCACTGCACTCCAGCCTGGGCAATGAAGCAAGACTGTCTCAAAAGAAAAAGAAAAAAAAGATCAATTAGCCAAATGCTTCTTAACCTCATTTCAAGGATCAAGAAGAAATTCAAACATCAAGAGAGGTCGGTGGGCCCAGGAGCAGTTGTAAGAATTTCCCTGAAGATTTTACGACACAGGGAAGCAATGTTTTGTTTTAACAAATTAAGAGTTTAATTTCACAGTGATTTATTTGAAGCTAAAGCTACACTCTGAAACCATTTAAAAACAACTCTGTTTCAGCACGTATTCCTGAAACTAATAGTTTATCATCACAGGCCATTGCTGTTTACACAAACGTACATGTAGGTATGCTGGGTAGTAAGTGTTAGCACCAGCAAACAGCGTACTAGGACACAGATATGGCTGGGTAGCCGCCTAAAGGAGCAGTTTACAGCTGTATTTTGTGTTCCACATCAGAATCCCAATGAACCAAATCAGATAAACACTTTCCAACAGTTGCAATTAATTAGGCCGCTAAGAAAGGAGCCAAATTCAGATGGGACGGCAGCACACACACATAAAACACACACACAACTGCGTACTGCAAATTCACAAGGGAAAGGCTAGCTCAACTGGCTAATTATCAAAGCTCAAAAACGTAAGCAAATCTGCCCCATAAACAAGGTATGTTAAGTGAGTTATGGTTCCATCTTTAGATAAATGAGGAGGAAAAGAATATTAATTTAATTTTAGTCATGTAAAAGCCCCGCTCGTTTCATTTAGTTGGTTAATTAATCAAAGGGATGCAGATTAAAGGACAGGAGCATTGAGGAGGCTGTGCACTAACAGGAGTGAAAGCCGCGGGAAGCCAGCGCTGGCAGCCACTTACTTCTTCCCAAAAGGCTAGCAGGGAAGATGCAGACGAGGAGGAGAGAGAGTCCTTGGAGGCAACAGACAGGAGGAACAAACATCATTTCCCACCCAGTCAACACTTGCACGAAGATATATTGACTTAATCTTGGTGGCAAACCATTTCTAGTAATAAGCAACATGTTTCATGCAGGCAGAGTGGGATAAGAAGTTTCTCAAAGACAATTTTCAAGAGTCTGGAAGCTCTAACAGACTCAGCCCCTGATGGAGGGTTTTTTCTTTCAACAATAAATGCCTTCCCACTTAAATCACAGAGGCATTAATGAGGGATTAATGGCCAGGCACGGTGGCTCACGCCTATAATCCCAGCACTTTGGGAGGCCGAGGCGGGCAGATCACCTGAGGTTAGGAGTTTGAGACCAGTCTGGGCAATACAGCAAGAATCCCTCTCTACAAAAAATTTAACAATTAGCCGGGGGTGGTGGCGAGCACCTGTAGTGCCAGCTACTCAGGAGGCTGAGGCAGGAGAATCGCTTGAGTCCAGGAGTTTGAGGTGGCAGTGAGCTATGATGGCAGCACTGTACTCCAGCCTGGGCAGCAGAAGGAAGCCCTGACTCCAAAAAATAGTTAAGATGGTAAGTTTTGTTATGCGTGCTTATATCAGAATTTATAAATCAACTATGGGCCAGGCATGGTGGCTCACACCTGTAATCCCAACACTTTGGGAGGCTGAGGTGGGTGGATCACTTGAGGTCAGGAGTTCAAGACCATCCTGGGCAACATGGCAAAACCCCAATCTCTACTAAAAATACAAAAAAAAAAAAAAAATTAGCTGGGTGTAGTGGCACGTGCCTGTAGTCCCAGCTATTTGGGAGGCTGAGGCACGAGAATCGCTTGAACTCCGGAGGTGGAGGTTGTGGTGAGCCAAAACTGCACCACTGCACTCCAGCCTGGGCGACAGAGTAAGACTCTGTCTGGGGGGAAAAAAAAAAAAAAAGGGAGGGATTAGCAGGGGCAGGCGTGCTGGGATTAGCAGGGGCAGGCGTGCTGGCTGTAGAGAATGAGGCATAAAGATGTCGCCTCTGTCTCCATCTCCACAGCTGTGACTCTCATACTCACGGGCAGGACTGGCTGTAAACTCACTTGCTACTGGGCCCTCTACTCTGTTAATGTTACAGAAAGCTACCGCTTTCCTGCCGGCCTCCATTCACTGAACAAGCACCATCTCTGGTTCTCTGGAATCCACTCATTCCTCCCCACAGTGGTGCCTGGCCCCACAGCAACAGGGAGAGGCAACGACTTGTGCAGAAACAGGCTTATCAAAGATCCGGTGGGCACTTACCGGTTATTTGCTTCTTCAAAACGGAGGATTTCAGGGAAAAGAGAAGCATTGCCAATTTGATAAAACAAACATTCTGACAGGTGAAGGTGAAGAGGTGTGCATCCAGAGTGGCTGTGAGCAATGCAAGCCTGTGACAGACACAGGCCAGGATGCTAAGAGCCCACCCCAGGGGAGGCTGCTCCAGGCAGCTGCCCACATGGGCACCTGCTGACTACCCCCTACTCACACAGGCAGCAACCCAGCCAACCCGACCTCAACCCAACGATCAGACTTGGCATCATCCACCCTGGGCAGGCCGGCCTCTGTGTGTGGGAAGGGCACAGCTCCTCCTGGGCAGAGTTTGTGCCAAAGGTTCAACCCACATCTGATCAAGATGGAACATCAGACAAACCCAGAGTGGACATTCTGCAGGACAACTGACTTGGGTAACACCAAAATATCATTGTCATAAAAGAAGGGACAGATGGGGAACTGTTCCAGATTAAAGGAAACAAAAGACTAAATGCGATTCGTCATCTCTAGGTAGATCCAGAACTAGGAGGAAAAGCCAGCAGGAAAGGACGTTCCCAGGACAAGGGACACGTGGATACGGGCTGTCCCACGGCACCAGCGCGGAATGCCTGGTGACAGTGACACTGTGGTTATGTGGGAGAATGCCCCAATCGTGGGAAATAACTGCTGAAGTATGTTGGGGTCGCTGACACCTGCAAGTCGCTTTCAAATACTGCTGAGGAAAAAGGTCTCTCTGCTGAGAGAGAGAAAGCAGACGTAGCAAAACCCCAGGTGAGGGACACGTACACATGCACCCTATTCTTCCCACTCGCCTGCAGGGTTGGAGTTTTCTAAATCAAAGGCTGGAACCACCTCCCCCTCCCTACACCCCCATCAGGAGTTCCATTAGTGAGCTCTGCTCTCCCCGTTCCAATGTGCTTCGCGTGCTGCTGTCAAGGGTGCATCCCTACAGGTTCAGAAGAGGAGGAAAGGCTGTCCTGCCTCCACGGAATGCCACCAAGAACCTGCGGCCCACGGAGGGAGGCAGTGGGGTCTGCTCCTCACTCGACAGCTAATTCCCAAGTAGATGACCAGTGGCTCTGGCTGCCTGAGGGGCTGGCCTCCTTGCAAGGGTCTTGGCGAGGCACCTGGGGCCAGACTGTTCCCATCAACCACCTTTCCCATTGATCCCCAATGCTGAACTCTATAGCTATACAGATGGAAATACAACTAAAGTAATTTTATTTGCTCTAGTGTGGGATTTTTTTTTTTTTTAAGAGCTAAGGTCTCGCTATGTTGCCCAGGCTGGTCTTGAACTCCTGGGTTCAAGTGATCCTCCCACTTCAGCCTCCCAAAGTGCTGGGATTACAGGTGTGAGCCACCGCACCCATCCCAATGTGAGAATTTGTATTAAAGTACTTACTTGAAATACTTGCTACAGGCCAGGTGTGGTGGCTCACAACTGTAATCCCAGCACTTTGGGAGGCCGAGGGGCGGGGGGGCAGATCACAAGGTCAGGAGTTCGAGACCAGCCTGGCCAATATGGTGAAACCCTGCCTCCACTAAAAATACGAAAATTAGCCGGGCACGGTGGCGGGTGCCTGTAATCCCAGCTACTCCGGAGGCTGAGGCAGGAGAATCGCTTGAACCCAGGAGGTGGAAGTTGCAGTGAGCCAAGATCATGCTACTGCACTCCAGCCTGGGTGACAGAGCAAGACTCTGTCTCAAAAAAAAAAAAAGAAATATTCACTATACAGCTGAGGCCAGTGTAGATTTCTCCCTGAAGATGCTGAGCACTTTCTTAATCTCATTTCTACTTAACTTGAGTTGAGAAAGCTTCTCTGGGAGCAACTCAAATACCCTGAATGTCTCTTACCTTATGCATTTAATGTGGGTTGATTACATGTGGGTCAAGTACATAGTTAGCACAACTCTGAGATAAATACTGAATGTATATTTACTGGTGTGTTTGTGGCCCCATGAGTGGTAAAATCATGTATTACACTATTTTTAACTTATCATAAACTCATCTGTCACTTAAAGAAAGAAAAACAATGACTCACTCTAAATGTCAGGTCATGTGCAAGGGGTGCAGTGTTGAAATACTCAAAAATGGAATCCTGAAAATCTGGAAGTTTGAGCCCTGTAAAAAGAAACAAAGAATAGTCAAGGTAAAAAAAAAAACTAAAGTCTACATATTATTTTCAGACAGAAAGACTCAATGTCTTCAAGATGTCAATTCTCCTTAAGTAAGTGATACATCTGACATGATCCCAGTTGAAAAAAACACCAGGCGTTCCTCCAGAGATGAACAATAATCAAAAAGTTCACTTGAAAAAGTAACCAAGGGACTGGGCGTGGTGGCTCACGCCTGTAATCCCAACACTTTGGGAGGCCGAGGTAGGCAGATCACCTGAGGTCAGGAGTTAAAGACCAGCCTGGCCAACATGGTGAAACTCTATCTCTGCTTAAAATACAAAAATTAGCTGCACATGGTGGCATGTGCCTGAAATCCCAGCTACTTGGGAGGCTGAGGCAGGAGAATCTCTTGAGCCCAGGAGGTGAGGGTTGTGGTAAGCCAAGATCACGCCACTGTACTCTAGCCTGGGTGACAGAGCAAGACTCTGTCTCAAAAAAAAAAAAAAAAAAAAAAAAAAAAGGCCAGGCGTGGTGGCTCACACCTGTAATCCCGGCACTTTGGGAGGCCGAGGCGGGCGGATCATGAGGTCAGGAGATTGAGACCATCCTGGCTAACACGATGAAACCCCATCTCTACTAAAAATACAAAAACAAAAACAAAAACAAAAAAACTAGCCAGGCGAGGTGGCGGGCGCCTGTAGTCCCAGCTACTCGGGAGGCTGAGGCAGAAGAATGGCGTGAGCCCGGGAGGCGGAGGTTGTAGTGAGCCGAGATCGCGCCACTGCACTCTAGCCTGGGCAACAGAGTGAGACTCCATCTGGAAAAAAACAAAAAAACAAAAAACCCCAAAACCACAGGGGTGGCTGGGCTGGGGGTAGGTGGAGGAGGAGTAGATCTATCAGGTATTAAAGCAGATTCACTAAGGCCTCTACGATAAGAATCATGGCCAGGTGCAGTGGCTCACACCTGTCATCCCAGCACTTTGGGAGGCCAAGGCCAGAGGACTGCTTGAGGCCATGAGTTTGAGACCAGCCTCGGCAACACAGAGAGACCCCATCTCCACAAAAAAATAAGTAAAATTAGCTGGGCATAGTGGTATGTGCCTGTGGTCCCAGCTACTTGGGAGACCGAGATAGGAGGATCACCTGAGCTGGGGAGATTGGGGCTGCACGTGCCCCTGCACTACAGCCTGGGTGACAGAGTGAGACCCTGTCACACACACACAAAAACACGAATCAAAAAACAAGAATCACATGGTTCTTGCCCATGAACAATGGAACGGGAGAAAATCCAGAAACAGACCCAAGTGCCCATGGTGATCCTATACATGACAACAGTCATACATAAAATCAGCAGGAAAAATAGCTGGTATTAATAACTGCTGCTGGACAACTAGCCAGCCATTAGCAAAAGACAAAACTGGATATACTCCTCAAACTGTATGTCAGAGCGCATTTCAAATGGATCAGTATTCTAATTACAAAAATGAGGCTGGGCACGGTGGCTCACGCCTGTAATCCTAGCACTTTGGGAGGCAAGGCAGGCAGACTGCTTGAGTCCAGGAGTTCAAGATCAGCCTGTGAAATACTGCGAAACCCCATCTCCAAAAAAAAAAAAGAAAGAAAACAATAACTAGCCAGGTATGGTGGCACATGCCCGTAGTCCCAGCTACTCAGGAGGCTGAGGTGGGAGGATCACTTGAGCCCAGAAAGTTGAGGCTGCAGTGAGCCCTGATCGTGCTACTGCACTCCAGCCTGGGCAACAAAGCGAGACCCTGAATCAATCAATCAATCAATCAATCATGAAGCCACACAAGTATGAGAAGCATGGGAAAATCCCTCCAACAACTGGGAGTTAGCTGTATTTTCCTATTTATGACTCAAAAAAGGAAAAAGACTGAAAATTTGACACACAAAAAATTTTGAAAACCACCTTTTTTTTCTTTTCCTTGAGAGACGGAATCCGGCTCTGTCGCCCAGGCTGGAGTGCAGTGGCGAGATCTCAGCTCACTGCAACCTCTGTTTCCCAGGTTCAAGTGATTCTCCTGCCTCAGCCTCCTGAGTAGCTGAGACTATAGGTATGCACCACCACGCCCAGCCAATTTTTGTATTTTTTGTTGAGATGGCAAAACCACTTTTTTTTTTTTAAAGACAGCGTTTTGCTCTTGTTGCCCAGGCTGGAGTGCAATGGCGCAACTGTGGCTCACCGCAACCTCTGCGTCCCAGGTTCAGGTTCAAATTGAAACAATTCTCCTGCCTCAGCCTCCTGAGTAGCTGGGATTACAGGCATGCACCACCATGCCCAGCTAATTTTGTATTTTTAGAAGACATGGGGTTTCTCCATATTGGCCAGGCTGGTCTCGAACTCCAGACCTCAAGTGATCCACCTACCTCGGCCTCCCAAAGTGTTGGGATTACAGGCATGAGCCACCGTGCCCGGCTGCAAAACCACTTTTATTTGGCAAAAAAATAAATAAATGAATAAGCAAAGACAAAGAGAAACAAGGAAAATACTTGCAACTTACATCACAAACAAAAGGACTAATCCCCATAATGCAAAAGGCTTTTAGAAATCCACCAGACTAATAACCTGAATTTTTAAAAGTGGGCAAACAATAAAAATATATAATGCACAAAATACAAAAGTTCCTCACACACATAAAAAGATGCTCCATCTTACTTATGAGAAACATGCAAGTTAAACCTCTATGGAGATGTTATTTCTCACCTATTCAGAGCAGCAAAAATCCAAAAGTCTGAAATCCTACTTTGTGGGCAGGCTGTGGGGCAGAAACCCCTCATGCAGAGTAGGAGGAGTGTCAGTGCGCAGCCTCTGGAGGCCTGTCCATCAGCACGTAGCACGAGTGTACAGGCATGTTTGCCCTTTGCCCTGGCAATCCCACTTCTAGAACTCTATCCCGAAACACACCGACAAAAATAGGAAATGTTCTATCCATTCAGCCACTCCTGGCAGCACTTTCTATGACAGCAAATGCCAGGGAATAACCCATCCCAGCGGCTGGCCAGCCCACGGCAGTGCACAGTGTAGCTGCAGAGGGGGCCAGGGGGCCCCCCCCAGCACAAAATGATGCCTTTTATGTAATCAGGGGATGCAAATGTGTGCCTAGATTTGTGTGTATTTGCCATATGTTTTCAAGATGAAAGGAAGGATAGGCTGGGCACGGTGGCTCACACCTGTAATCCCAGCACTTTGGGAGGCTGAGGTGGCTGGATTGCCTGAGGTCAGGAACTGCAGACCAGACCAGCTTGGCCAACATGGCACAATCCCATCTCTACTAAAAACACAAAAATTAGCCAGGGATGGTGGTGGCGTGTGCCTGTAATCCCAGCTACTTGGGAGGCTGAGACGGGAGAAGCGCTTGAACCCAGAATGCAGAGGTTGCAGTGAGCCGAGATCACGCCACTGCATTCCAGCCTGGGTGACAGAGCAAGACTGTTTCACACACAAAAAAAGGAAGGATAAACCAAAAACAATGGCTAGCTTTGGGGAAAATATCTTTGAAGATGCTGTTTGAAAATGTTGATTTTGGAATTCTGTAGGTACTTTACGTAACTAAAGTAACTATTAAGTCGAAAAGAAAATAAACCCACTCATTTGAAAAATATTTATATTCAAATAATGCAGAACTGCCTGATGTTAATTTACCAGTATCTGCTCTGAATTTTTCTTCCATCTTTTTCTTCAAAATTTCCATTTCTTCTAATAATTCTCTGTTTTTGGCTTCAGAGTCCTTTAGTTTGCTAAAATAAAAAATAAATGGCTTTAAGTGCACTGAGAAGAGGTTGTCTATGAGGCAGTCTGGGGCAGGGCAGGATGAGAGGGCCGGGGTTTCTCCCCAGCACCGGGGACTGTTCAGAACACGGCAGCTCATGCTGGGCCTTTCTACTGCAAACACTACAAACAGTATGAATATTTCAAATATAAACATTCAAGCAGGAATTTAAAAAGTCATGGCTTAGGAAGGTGTGTCTCATGATGGCCTAATGGAGCTTTGACCTTCCTAATCTCCTTCCCAGGCGAGTCCTCTGTTCTCCAGGGACACAGGGCCCAGGCCGCTCAGCCATCAGCCCCGTCAATATGTTTCCCATAACTGGCAAGATGGTGGCTGCATCAAGAAGCACCAGCACCAGCCGTACCGGCAGCCTTGCAATTCCAGCAACTTCATGGAGGGGACAGAGAAAGTCAGGCTGCCACGGAGAACAGCTGGCCAGGAGGGACGCAGTTTGTGGGGGGCGGGGGGGGCGTTCCACTTATCAGTGGGGTGACAGTGGGCAAATCACCTGCAGAGTGCGTAAGCAGGAGTAACAAGAGTGCCTGTCCTGTTGGGCTGTGGGAAGGTCACAGGATTTAACAGAACAGTCTTACAGCAGTTCCCGGTACAAAGGAAGTCAATTTAACTGAAACCTATTACCATTAATTCTTTTAGCCCCAAACTAACAGGATTTGGGACTCAGTAATTCTGTTAAAGACACTGTCCCTTCTAGGTCCTCGTCCGCCTCACGGCACAGCACAGCTGGCCTGGTTTTTATGAAACTGACTTTCATTCTCGTATCCTTATAAAACAGGATCTGCAAAGAGGAAACTCTCAGCTAATACTGACTGAATTTACTGCTGTGTGAAAATGGCATTCTCGTTACTGCTTGGAGTTGGAGAAAAATTTCAAGTGAGAATGCCATCTTCAACCTCTGTTTTAAAATATTTGCATTAGCTTGAAAGGAACAATCCTGAGTTAGTGAATGGAGCGGCATGGAGGTGACTAAGCAGTGAGAGGGGCTCCTGTCAGACAGTGGTATGAGTCTCACTACCCAGCGCGGGGCACAAGCACCCGCTGCTGTCAAAACACGGCTTGCACTGCACTGCACACCCCCGCGGCAGGCGAGGCCCTGCACCCTTGTGGCCACCTCCTCTGTGCTAGAACAGCCTGCTATTCAGGGCTCCTGCAGGTAAACCCGACTTGCTGCCTCCTAAGGTGCCAGTAAACACCGTGGCCCCGATTTTCCAGGTGAGGAGCATCAGAGCCCACAAGGCTCAGGGCTGGCTGAAGGCCACACAGCCCCCACTCCTACTCAGAGTTAGACCCCAGCACCAAGTACCTTTCCAAGGTGAGGTTGGCATCCTTGACCTTCCTCAGCTCCTCCTGGACAAGCTGCTTGGCCCGGATCTCCGCCTCCAGGGCCGACTGCAGCTCCAGCCGCGCGGACATGTCCAGCTTCTGGCTGCGGCGCACCTTCCACAGTGGATCCTTGCGACATGGTTACGGTGTTAAAAATGCACTTTCAGTTATCTACTTGTTAAACTAATGTTAACAAATAAGTTATCTTTGTCTAACCTTAAGCCATTACTGTCTCACTTAGGTATTAACTCTAAATTATTGAGGTGCCTCAGGAGTTTCAGTTTTGATATTTTATGACTTTTACTCTTCCTTAGAAATCTTCTAAAAAAGAACATTTACTTTATCTTTGAGAAGAATAAAAGTAATTCTGTGGTACAACCTCTTTTTTTTTTTTTTAGATGGAGTTTTGCTCTTGTTGCCCAGGCTGGAGTGCAATGGCGTGATCTCAGCTCACTGCAACCTCCGCCTCCAAGATTCAAGCAATTTTCCTGTCTCAGCCTCCCCAGTAGCTGGGATTACAGGTGCACGCCACCACGCCTGGCTAATTTTTGTATTTTTAGTAGAGACAGGGCTTCACCATGCTGGCCAGGCTAGTCTCAAACTCCTGACCTCGTGATCCACCCACCTTGGCCTCCCAAAGTGCTGGGATTACAGGCGTGAGCCGCTGCGCCTGGCCTCTGTAGTGCAATTTGTATTTGGGTCCACTGAACCCTGGACCTTTTACAAACCTAAGGTACATTATAGGGTTCGGTTATCTTTTTCTCATAATTTGAAACATTTTGCGATTTCACCATCCTGGGAATTATGTCATTACTCATTCCTACCTGTGATTAAAAAAAAAAAAAAAGACTAAAATAATAAGGGAAGAATGACGGAGTGACCTAGGATGAAGCAACAGTGGAATATACCAGTTCACTAACAGCACCCTTCTGTTTTCTTACTGAGTTGCCCAATGTATGGTATCAACTTTCAGGAGGTATGAAAGAAGTCTAGAGATGCCATCTTGCTGATTTTTCTTTTTTTAAACCAAAAACCTTCATTGAACACAACTGAGAATTCTTCATTTTCCATCTACAATGGTAAAGAGAAGAAAATGGACAGAGGAAGGCCAGGTGTGGTGGCTCACACCTGTAATCCCAGCACTTTGGGAGGCCGAAGCGGGCAGATCACCTAAGGTCAGGAGTTTGAGACCAGCCTGGCTAACGTGGCAAAACCCTATCTCTACTAAAATACAAAAATTAGCCTGGTGTAGCGATGCACACCTGTAATCCCAGCTACCTGGGGGGCTGAGGCAGGAGAATCACTTGAACCCAGGAGGTGGAGGTTGCAGTGAGCCGAGATCACGCCACTGCACTCCAGCCTGGGCGATAGAGTGAGACTCCATCTCGGGGGGAAAAATATAAAATACACAGATCACTAAATGAACCAATAAAATTAATAAAGCTCTCTGAGGGCAGAATCCAGTCTTAATTTGATACCACAGAGCTCAGTGCTCAATAATTATTTGCTAAACGAATGAATGCCATCGAGAGAAGCCATAATGATCTGAAAGCTGGCAAATGTTAGCATTCCTTAAACTGGGGAACTGGTTGCACAGAAGTCTCTTGCATCACTGTAATTCCCTAAATAGTACTTAAATGTCACATTCACACTTAAAACCATTAACAAATTATTCAGTAATAGAAATGCAGGCATTACACAAAACCTACCAGTGTTCTTGACCCCAGACTAGAACTCCTCAAAGCCTCGAGCTCTTCGGTCATCTTGGAAGCAAGAGCTTGAAGGTAGCCCCGGGCATCTTTCTCGTCGCTGACCCTGGAGGAGGGAACAGATGTTCTGTCTCACGAAGCATAGCTACCAGCGAGAAGCCAAACAAGAAGGGGACGTTCCTGCCTTCCTCGGGACACACTGACACAGCGTCACGTCAGCCAGAGTGCCCACAGTGTACCCATTGTATACGCAGGATCACACTGATGGAAGCATCGTTACATGGCACGACTGTAGTTTAAAAAGACACCAAACTTCCAAGACTCAAGAATGAAAAAATTATATTACCCCATAAATATATACACCTACCATGCACCCACAAAAATTAAAAATAAAAACTCTTTTAAAAATTACAACTTCACACCTTAGGAGCGGAGGGCCAGGTCCCAGCTCGCTCCAAGTCTCCCTGCTGCTTCCGCAGCCACTTCAGGAGGGCTCTGCCTCCTGTATCTCTGAGAACGCGAGGGGTGTGAACGGCTTGCCCCAAGTCCTTCAGTGGGTTGGTGGGGGCGTGTCTCCACCTCCAGTCCAACAGAACCACTGCCCCAGACATGAGAAGTTCTGGGGAACAGCAACAAGACCTGCATCCCAGCCTGAGAGGCACGACCTGGCGTGGAGCACAGGATGAGGCAGCAGAGGCGGGACAGGCCTCCTGGACTGAGCAGGGAGTCGCTTTACGGCCGCTAATGGGGCCGCGCACGTACCACTGAATGATTTCCGCAATCTGAGCTTCCCAGTGGGCCACCGACTCCTTCTTGGCTGCCAGATCCTGCAGCTCATCCTCCAGCTGTCTATTTTGAGCTGTGAGTTTATCCACAAAGGAACAGAGCTGAAATGAAACAATTTCACCACAGAACTTGTTAATCGGGCATCCTTTAAGTATGCTGGCATTAACACTGGAAGTTCCTTTGAAGACTTTGAAAGTTTTCTTTAATCGTCATGAGATTTTTCTAAACTAAGTTCATGATACGGATTTTTTCACTGTATCTAGCTTAAGTCACATTTCAACTCAAATCTAAACCTAAACCGATGCAGCTAGTGACTTCAGGCAATTGGCACCTTTTCGCTGAATACAAACATCCTATTTAAAAGACCAAACCCATTACTTCATACAAAAATCAAAACAGTCACGTGTGGTGAAACAGCAAGAACACGGGCTGAGAAACACGTCCTTGTGCACACAGCGTGAATGCACTCACACAAGCCTAGATGGTGTGGCTGCTGCACGCCAGGCCCTGTGGCACAGCCTGTCAATTCCAGGCCACAGCCTGCATACCATGTTGCTGTGCGGGACGCTGCCGGTGGCTGTAACACAATGCTAAGTATCTGTGTATCTCAACACAGAAGAGGTAAAGGACAGTATTACAATCGTATGGGATGTCTGTTGTACACACGGTCTGTCACTGATGGAAGCATCGTTATATGGCACATGACCGCACTGTAAAAAGATCCCAAACTTCGGCCGGTGCGGTGGCTCATGCCTGTAATCCCAGCACTTACATGCCTGTAATCCCAGCCGGTGGATTACATGCCTGTAATCCCAGCCGGTGGATCACGAGGTCAGGAGATCGAGACCATCGTGACTAACACAGTGAAACCCCATCTCTACTAAAAATACAAAAAATAAGGCCGGGAGCGGTGGCTCACACCTGTAATCCCAGCACTTTGGGAGGCCGAGACGGGCGGATCATGAGGTCAGGAGATCAAGATCATCCTGACTAAGACGGTGACACCCCGTCTCTACTAAAAATACAAAAAAAAAAAAAAAATTAGCTGGGTGTGGTGGCAGGCGCCTGTAGTCCCAGCTACACGGGAGGCTGAGGCAGGAGAATGGCGTGAACCTGGGAGGTGGAGCTTGCAGTGAGCAGAGATCGCACCACTGCCCTCCAGCCTGGGTGACAGAGCAAGACTCCATCTCAAAAAAAAAAAAAAAAAAAAAAAACCAAAAATTCGCCAGGCGTGGTGGCGGGCGCCTATAGTCCCAGCTACTCGGGAGACTGAGGCAGGAGAATGGCGTGAACCTGGGAGGCAGAGCTTACAGTGAGCCAAGATCGCACCACTGCACTCCAGCCTGGGGCAACAGAACGAAATTCTGTCTCAAAAAAAAAAAAAAAAGATACCAAACTTCCAAGATTCAAGAATGACATTCTATTCCTCCATAAATATATATACCCACTACGTACATACCCACACAAATTAAAAATAAAAAAAAATTTTTTTAAATTACAATTTCCCTACAAAGTGCTAACTCAGGTACTTTGAATTAATTACCTTTTCATTTTCAGCGGTTAGCTTCTTGTTTTCATCAAATAGCATTGCTCTTTCTCGTTCGTATTTATCTTTTATTGTACCTACCGCCTCCTCCATCTCGTTATGCCTGCCAAGGTGAGCGAGAAACAGTTTTAAAAGCTCGTAACTTCGCTAATATTCGTTATCTATGGCATAGGTATCAGCTTTCATCTTCTCAACTGAGGAGCTCATGAACACCTACCGTTCTCGCCTTGACTTTTCTAACTTATCTTTTAACATCAAGATTTCTTTCTGCAGGGCCAGCTGGTGGCTTTCTGAATCATGCACCTCCTTCTTCACATTTTTCACTTCGAGCACATGGGAGGCCTCACGTCTGACCAATTCCTCTTCATAAAATAAGACTTTCTTCTCCAGCTCGGATTTGATTTTGGAAATCTCTTGCTGGTGCTCTAAAGTGGCACCTGCTCCCCGGCCTCCTTGCTTCATCTGAAGACAAAGGTTAACATAAGTTGACGAACCTCTGTGTCCTCAACGGTCACATTGTCCTTTCATCCCCTTTCATCCCCAGCAAGTGCAGACACCTTCCCAAGGACCGTGTATGCCTGGACTACACCAGATGATGTAGCTGACCTGGCTAACGTGATCCAGATTCTAGGGGGTCACAGCAGGAGACAGCCTTGCAGGGGGATGTGCCCGGGTCTGCCTGGGACCCTGAAGCTCTGCCCCACACCCTGTTCATTCAGGCCTGCAGCATTCTTCTGAGGGCTGACTCTGTGCTGGCCCCTCCTTGTGACTGCGGTGACACTGAGGCCTCTGCTCTCATGTGGTTGGCTGGAACTGACAGCAAACCAGTAAACGGGCGGAGGGGCTCCGCACCCCAGCTGGGTTGTAGGGAGCGGAAGGCGTGCCGGGATGGCTGGGGCAGCATCTGTAAGGTGCTGGCCTATTAAGTGAGGTGTCAGGCTAGGGGCAAAGAACAAGGGCACAGGCCGGAGTGAGGTGGGACGTGCTGGCAGTGCTTGTAGCACGCAGAGAGGCCAGTGTGTCTGGAGTGGCGGGGACAGGAGGGGTGGGAGAGGCACTGCTGGGCTGGAGCGGGCAGGAGGGTGGCTGCTGGACAGCTGTGGAGCCACGGAGGCCCTGACTGCACAGGAATGTGATCCGGCTTTGGTCTGCCAAGCTTACTCTGCCTGCTGTGCAGAGCGGAGACTCGAGGGCTGAGAAAGGAGCAAGAGCCTCGGGCACCACACGCTGAGGTCCAGCCAAGCCACGCTGCCAGAGAGGAACAGCATCTCAGGCCCACGTCCCAGAGGAAGAGCTACCAGATCACCAAGGGGAAGGGAGAGGGCAGACCCATCACATGCAGCCCACACATGAGGAGACCCAGGCCACGCTATACTGCCAAGGAGATCCGCCCCCAGCCCCTCGCCCACTCGGCCGCTGCGGCCTTCCCCACTCCCGCCCTCTGCAGCCTCCCGGCCACCCTCCGGCCCCACCAGCAGGCCCTGACTGATGGCCAGTCTGTTTCCTCCCCAGTCAGCAGCAGGTTACAGGCTTTAAGGAGCTTTTCCAAAACTCAACTGCACTGAATTTAGAATACCACGACGTGAAGAAAGCTATGAACTGACGGGGCTGGAGCAGGAAATGAGATACTAGTTTCCTAGGACTTACAGTGAACTGCCTGAAACTTTTATATAAGAAAGGAAAAAAATGAACTTGGCCTTTAAAAATGAAAGCAGTCACAAAGGCAGCGGTCACACCCCCACCTCTCCACACACGGGTCTTGCCTCAACAGCCTCGGGTGACACTCAGCCTGGACCACACATTACACAAGGTGACTTCCACATGGTGGCATCAGCAAAGATGAGCATTCCTCTCGGTTAAGGGCAGAGACCCCCGCCCAGCACTACCTTGAGGGCCTCCAGCTCGCTTTCCATTTGCTTGCAGAAGTTCTCACTGTGCTCACGAAGCTTGCGCTCCTTGGAGGCCTCAGCAACAGCATCATCAAGCTGAGCTTCCAGCTACAAGAGGAAGATCCGGTTTCCATTAACACAAAGCGAGCTCCACGTCACCAGTTAGAGCAGCACCCACGGGACCTCTACAAGAACAAGACCTCAAAGGAGCTTTGCGCGTGTTTGCCCTCCATCAAATCTTACCACAAATGGAAGTTTGAGGAATACACTTCAGGGTTCAACTGGGATGGTTGGTTAGTAATAAAACAACGTTCAACTCTAGCTTAAATTGATACTTTTAAATTTCAAGAAGGATAAATTTCTTGAAATTTAAATTTCACTGATTTGTGAAAACAAGTACTTTTGATATCTGTAGAACCTGAATTCATTAATTAAATGGGTCATTTCAAACACGCACAAGAGCGAGCAGAACAGCAAACCCGCGTGCCACACCCAGCTTCGACAGTGAGCTCTGGAGCCAAGCCCGCTTCATCTCTGCCCGTGCCCAAACCACTCGAGGGCGAATCCCAGGCACTGTCACCACTTCCCCCGTAGGTGGAATGCTAATTCCTCTTTAGGGGTATCACTAACTTCAGTTTTAACTGCCTATAACTACAAATATATTTGGGTTGCAAAATAGACTGTCTAAGAAGAAAACAAACAGGTCCTCTGTGGCTCAAGAACAAAGAGCCCTGAACTTGAAAGGAGCAGAAGCATGTGCTTCCAGGCCTTCTCATTCATGGGATTTATCAAGGAAACTTTAATAGAGTTCTAAACTAAGCACTGCTTAAAATATGTCACAGCAGAACACTCGGAATACCTAGGGCGGCAGGGGCTGAAAACCCCTGTGGTCCTGAGACGTTGTCAGGGGTGTGCAGGGCCCTTCCTTTCCTAATTAGCTACGTGTGGGAGCCAGGATTTCTTCATGTACTTTATCCCGAACAGCGCAGCAAAACAGACGGAAGAAACAGTCATGAGAACTCAACCGTTTTCTATTCAGCCAGATATTAAAGAAAAACTAACAAAATGTAAAAAATGCCATTCTTCTTGCCAAATTTTTAAAGAAATACTTTTCATTAAACATGTTACATATGTTAACATGAAATGGGTTTTCATTGCATTAACAAAATTCTGTTTTAATTTCTGCCATGGTGCATGTTGAGAGCTGTAGCCTACATAAGAAAGCTCTTTGGGGTTGCAATCATTCCAACAGCGGCGACGAGTGCTGTGTCAAGACACTTCAGAGGCGCTCACCTCGGCAGGCGGCCTCAACTGTGCTTCGCTGTGATTTGCCTTTCATATATACATATTTTTTTTTTTTAGACGGGAGTCCCACTCTGTCGCCCAGGCTGGATTGCAGTGGCACAATCTCGGATCCCTGCAGCCTCCACCTCCTGGGCTCAAGCGATTCTCCTGCCTCAGCCTTCCAAGTAGCTGGGATTACAGGTGACCGCCACCACGCCCAGCTGATTTTTTTGTTTTTTTGGTAGAGATGGGGTTTTGCCATCCATGTTGCTCAGGCTGGTCTCCAACTCCTAAGCTCAACGATCCAGCCATCTCAGCACCTCCCACAGGGCTGGGATTCCAGGCGTGAGCCCCGCACCCGCCCGTGATCCGCCTTTCTACTGCCACCTGCCCTGTGTGGACTTATTCACATAAGCCAGGCCACATCATAGCACAGTATAAACACCCTCTATTTACTTAAAAGGGAATTAAAGAAAATCAGCACCACAAGAACCTTATTGTAATTTCACCGATATTGAGGGACGAGAACAACAAAATAAATGCTCAGCCCATCAACTTACTTGGCTCCACAGAAAATTTCCAACCCCTTTTATACTAATGCAGCCCAAGATTCCAAAGGCGTTTTATAGAAGTCACACAAAAGTCCAGTAGATACCATCCCTGAACCAGCCCCACAGCTACCTCTTTCCTGAGCTTCTCGGCTCTCCGCATCTCCTGCCGCATGGCGTCCACCTTCTGCGTGGCCACCTCCATCTCTTCCTCCTTGTCCCGCAGCTGCCGGGACACCTTCTGCTTCTGGGCACGGAGCTCTGCCATGCGCTCATTCAGCTCCGAGAATTCCTGCAGGGCCAGCTTTCGCTGCTGATGGGCATCTTTGAGTTCCTTGGCCTGGGATTTCAACCGCTCCGAGGCTTCAACCAGTTGCTGAACAAAAACAATTACAGATGTTTTATGTTTCCCTAACAAAGGCTTGGAAGGCTGGAGGTTTGGTCTCCCACGACACTGAGGAGTTAAAAGCCACAGCCGATGCTGGTTACAGATTAGAGCCACAGATCTGAGAAATTCCCTGCTTGGAAAAAGACCTATGCTGTGTCTCACGCCACCCACAAAGGCAACGGGAAGGCCACCTGGGTTCAGGTGCCGAGCACCAACTGCACACCAAGAAAGGCGCCACAGGCTGGGCACAGTGGCTCACACCTGTAATCCCAGCACTTTGGGAGGCCGAGGCGGGCGGATCACCTGTGGTCAGGAGATGGAGACCATCCTGGCTAACATGGTGAGACCACGTACTAAAAATACAAAAAAAGTGCATCGTGGTGGTGCGTGCCTGTAGTCCCAGCTACTCAGGAGGCTGAGGCAGGAGAATGGTGTGAACCTGGGAGGCAGAGGTTGCAGTGAGCCAAGATCGTGCCACTGCACCCCAGCCTGGGCGACAGAGCGAGACTCCATCTCAAAAAAAAAAAAAAAAAAAGCCCCACAACCACGCAGGGGCAGCGTGCTTACAGGAGGACGCCTGGCTCCGTAACGACAGCCTCTGCCCGACGTCGCCTGCAGAGCCGCAAAGCTGAATGAAGCATTTGGGCACTCAATCGGGTTACTTCAACATAAGCAAACTCCGAAAAGCACACACAGACACAAAGTGCTGAAGGTGAAGTCACGGTGAAGAACTGCATAAAAACCAGTCTGGACAGCCTGCCCCTCACTGGAGACTGGTGTGCGGATGCTGGCTGTCACTCTGCACTCACCACACTGATGACCCTGACCTCCCTGCAGCCCATCTGGTCAACTACCTGGCAGTTCAGTCACTGCTGCACCTGCTCGTCTGAGATGGAAGTGACAAGACCCTGAGCAAGCTGGCAGAGCAGCTGCCCACACATGGACGGGAGGCCTCCCCAGGCCTCTCCGGGCCCACTGGGAGGTACTATGACCCTGTCAAGCAATGAGGTGCCACACACCCCACACTGCACTTCGACAAGTCACTCAGGTGGATGACACCACAGATTATCTTAAGAAACGATTTGGGTTTGATACCTGGCACATTTTAGAGAACAGATCACAAACTACAGGTTCAAGGATAACATGTATCAATGAATGTATTTTAGAAAACACGTATATAACTAACATGGTGGCACCTGAGCATAAAAGTTTTCCATATATTACTAAAAATGAAATTTATAAAGGAATTATGGGGTTAAATCACCCAGATTTTAACACAGGGCCTCTGCTGCAGTTCCCTGTCATTACTAAGGGGCCCTCTCTAAGAGCAGAGGCCTGGTGGAGAGAAGGGGAGGGCCTGGCTCCAGACACAGCGTGTGCTGCCACGGCCACCATGCCCTAAGGACATGAGAAGGAGGAGCTGCACAAGGAAGGAGGAACTGCACAATGTAGAATACAGTGGGGTGCTGCTTTCTCTGTGGGTCTGAAGTGGAGACTGGAAAGGCTGATTGTGAGGTGGATACCCGCTGTGGGCCAGGGGGTGGAAGGCACCTGCCACTGGGACCCAAGCTCTGCCAACTGACACGGAGGCTGTGCAGCAGGCAGGTGTGGCAGGGGCCCCGGGGCCACGCTTGGCCCTGGTGTCCTGCATGCAGCAGGGACAGCCCATGGGCAGAAGTCCCAAGAGGCCTTCCACCGTCTGCATGAATGTGACCTTACAAAACTCTGCAAGGTCCTGTAAGCCTTTCCCACCCCGAACCGAGCCACCTACCTTGTGCAGCTCCTCCTTCTCCTGCCGGACCACGCGGTGCTGCTTCTCCAGCCCCCGCAGCCGCTGCGTGGAGTCCTCACGCTCCTGGCGAAGCGCCACTGTGTCCTCAAGCTGTCGCTCGAGCCTGTTTGAATCTGGGTAAAAGGGGAAATAAACTGTGTTCCTTTATGTGCAGTGACTATATGCAAACTTTACGTTAGCTGACTTACTGATAGGAAATTATTTAATAATTCACAACACTCTTTTCCATTCAGAGGTTTTTTTTACTTACACACACACACACACACACACACAGTGTCACGGGCAGAGCTACCTGCATGCCTGTGCGGAACAGGCTCCCTAGACTTTGATCTGACAGGAATCTCCCCTGAGGACTGGGAGCCCTTGGGTGGCACACACAGTCGTCTGCTCAGTCCCTCTAACCTGTGTCACCCAGCATAGTGCCTGGCCCTTGTCCTTTTTCAGCGTGCAAGAAAGGTTTATTTAGTAAGTGACTCAATCAAAGAAGTCCGTTTTTGGATCAGGACAGTGGGGTTCCTGATAGGAAACGCAGAGAAGGTGAGAGATTCGAAGTGTGCTTTGCAGGTGAAGGTCAACTGCAGAGCCAACCTGTGTGAGGTTAAGGCTTAAAAGGGACTGGAGTCAGGCCGGGCGCAGTGGCTCAAGCCTGTAATTCCAGCACTTTGGGAGACCGAGGTCGGCGGATCACGAGGTCAGGAGATGGAGACCACCCTAACACAGTGAAATCCCGTCTCTACTAAAATACAAAAAATTAGCCGGGCGTGGTGGCGGGCACCTGTAGTCCCAGCTACTTGGGAGGCTGAGGCAGGAGAATGGCATGAACCTGGGAGGCGGAGCTTGCAGTGTGCCGAGATTGCACCACTGCACTACAACCTGGGTGACAGAGCGAGACTCCGTCTCAAAAAAAAACAAACAAAAAAAGTGACTGGAGCCTTCAGGGAACTTTGATAACCCAGGAACCACCAAGAGAAAGTGGTGACGGCAGGTCTAGCACCTACAACACCAAGGAGCAGGCCGAGTCACTGATTAAGCTTTAGGAGGAAAGCAGCTCTAGGGACTCTGTCTGAGAGCCACAAAGAGGAAAACTGTAACAGAGAAGCAGAAAATAGCCAGATAACGTTCAGATAAAATATTGGGAATTGATTCTAGCTGGTGACTATAAAATAATATCATTAGAACTAAGCCAGTTGGGGCTGGGCACGGTGGCTCACGCCTGTAATTTCAGCACTTTGGGAGGCCGAGGTGGTCAGATCACCTGAGGTCAGGAGTTCGAGACCAGCCTGGCCAACATGGTGAAACCCTGTCTCTACTAAAAATACAAAATTAGCCGGGCGTGGTGGCACATGCCTGTAATTCCAGCTACTTGGGAGGCTGAGGCAAGAGAATCACTTGAACCCGGGAGGTGGAGGTTGCAGTGAGCTGAGATTGCACCACTGCACTCCAGCCTGGGGGACAAAAGCGAAACTCTGTCTAAAAAAAAAAAAAAAAAGGGCCGGGCGCGGTGGCTCAAGCCTGTAATCCCAGCACTTTGGGAGGCCGAGGCGGGCGGATCACAAGGTCAGGAGATCGAGACCACAGTGAAACCCCGTCTCTACTAAAAATACAAAAAATTAGCCGGGCGCGGTGGCGGGCGCCTGTAGTCCCAGCTACTCAGGAGGCTGAGGCAGGAGAATGGCGGGAACCCGGGAGGCGGAGCTTGCAGTGAGCCGAGATCGCGCCACTGCACTCCAGCCTGGGCAACAGCGTGAGACTCCGTCTCAAAAAAAAAAAAAAAAAAAAAAAAAAGAACTGACCAAAATTTCAGAACTCTAAATAAGCTTGCTAAAGCCTAAGCTTTTTTTCTGCTTTCCCACCTTATGAAAAGGACTCTGAAATTCCCTTTTAAGAGGGTAATGACCAAAAACAGAGACTAAGAAGTCATACTTTTTTAAACATACCTGCTATTTTATTCTTCAAGCGTTCGATTTCTTCATTTAGCTTTTTGATTTCTTTATCTCGGTTTGAATTGCTGAGGGCCCGAGATGAGCCGTGGAGGGACTGCACGGTCTGGGTGGACTCTGAGGGATGGAGAGACAGCGTGAGGTGCAGCCTGGCCACAGCGCCCCCTCCCAGCCCCAGAGCCCACGCCGCCCTCACCTTGCAGCTTCCTGCTCAGCTCCAGCTTCTCCTGTTCCAGCCTCCGAATCCTCCTCTCGTAAGCTTCCATCTGCAGGCTGTGCTCCAGGTCCCGCTGCACATCCTCATCTTTGGTTAATGTGTTGGACTGCATTATGCTCTTCAGAGAGCCTCGATCAGAAAAACAGCTGGGAAATCAAGCAACAGGTTTTGATCTACTGAAAATTCAGCGATTTAATTAGCATTTTCAAACTTCCTGGGGTGAAAGCTAGTCTTTTTAAATTGGCAAACAAAAATACCCAAGAAAAGACTTTCTTGTTTATGGAGCCAAAGTTAGATAAGTGACCGGATGGTCAAGGACACACTGACAAGGGCACGAAAGCGCCTCTGCAAAGGAGGGGAAATGGCATTTCTGAATCATCCCTCACACTTAACTATAAACGCAGAACCAGAAAGCATGGATTTTGCATAAAGCAAGGCTTAAAGGGCAGCCCCAGCTCTTGTCTGGAGGTCAGCAGTGTGCACGGACCATAGAGCTTCCTCGTTTGGCCACCAACTGGCCAAGCAATCCAGACAGCTCTTTCAACCCTTCTTCCCTTGCAGGCTAAGCCACCAACTCTAGCACTGACCAGCATGCTAAGCCCCCTAACAAGGACCAGACCACTGGATGACGTGCACATCCAAGGCACAGGCTGAAGCCCAGGATGGCTCTCATTGCTTTAGGAGTTACTCAGTTCTGCTTAGCTCTTTATGTGACAATGAAGTCAGGAAAATTTTGAGCTCCTATGCTGAGTCCCATAAAGGCACCCAGCCCCCTTTACAGAAGACCTGGTGTTTCTCCACAGGTGGTCTGAGGGTGCTGGGCTGCTCTAGCCCTGCAGGGTCTGTCAAGAGGAGAGCTCTAGGCCTATCTGGCCAAACTACAGCCATGGGCCTGGGACCTGCAAGTGTAACAAGCTCTCAGTGAGCTGGGATGTACCAGAAAGGTCAAGAACCTCTGCACTGGCAGCTGGTAAATCAATATGTCCACCCAGAAAGCCTCCTGCGGGCGGGAAGACAGCAGCGGTCACTTTGGCTTATGGGCTGTTTAACCCTGGCCGACAGCAGCGGTCACTTCGGCTTACGGGCTGTTCAACCCTGGCCTCTCACACCAAAAGATATTTCCTCCAAGCTAAAGTAGAAATATGGGGATGTCGGCCGGGTGTGGTGGCTCATGCCTGTAATCCTGGCACTTTGGGAGGCCAAGGAGGGCAGATCATGAGGTCAGGAGATCGAGACCACCCTGGCCACTATGGTGAAACTCCATCTCTACTAAAATGAGATTAGTCGGGCATGGTGGCGGGCACCTGTAGTCTCGGCTAATCAGGAGACTGGGGCAGGGGAATTGCTAGAACCCAGGAGGCGGAGGTTGCAGTAAGCTGAGATTGCGCCACTGCACTCCAGCCTGGGCGACAGAGCAAGATCCCGTCTCAAAAAAAATAAAATAAAATAAAAAAAGTATGGGGATATCTCCCTCTCAAGACATTTTCAACTGTGGTTCCAGTTGCCAGAAGACGCTGGGAATCAGATTCTGTGGCACAGTGGGAGCTTCCATTGTCTCATTTCACCTCCCCCACCTCCCTTTCTTCCTAACCCCTCTCCTCTCAGCCCCAGTTTCCTTTTAAAATAGAGGTGGACCACCTCAGGCGACACAAATTTGCAAAGAGGCCCATTTGGGACAGGAGCCCACAGCACACAATCCTTACAAAAGGCAGCAGAGTGCTCTGACTGAAGCCAGCTTTCAGCTGAGTGCGTGCGGCAACTGTTCCGCTTGCTGCGGCCGCCGACCGGATCAGAGCTAACCCTGCCAGTGGTGGTGGCCTATTGGTCAGGGGTCGGCAAACTACGGCCTCTGGGAGAAATCCTGCCCGGGGCCTGTTTTTGCACCATCATGAGCATGAACGGTTTTAATATTTTTAAAGGGTTGTAAATAGAAGAACACACAACAAAGGCCATGAAACCTGAATTCTTTACGACCTGGATATCTGTAGAGAAAAAGCCTGCAACCTTGCTATGGTAACACCTGTAGTCATTAGGTGTGTATATTTTAAGAACAAAAACCCATCTCCATCTCCCTTAAGTAATGGCCTCCCAGCACACACCCCACCCACCAGCCCACTCCTAGGGACAGAGTGTGGTGTCTGACTGTTCATCTACCACAAGGGAAGGCTCTCCCTGGGGAATGATAAATCTAGACGTACCTTTCTGTTGTGAATGTAAAACCAATGAATGGCAAATGTAATCCAGAAAAGCCTGTGTGAGAACCAGGAGGTAATATTTCCTGCATAAGAACATATACAACACAAATGAAATCTACATTCAAACCAACAGGTAAAAAGAGGAAAGATGGTTATAGTCATGGTGACGGGAGGCACTGGGCAGAACACGTGGCCTTGGAGAATGCAGACTCCATGATGTCCTCTGCAGGGGAGCTGAGTATGGCAGATCTGTCTTTCTCAAGCCTGGCCCCATTCACTGTATGTACAATAAAGCTCACAGGATACATGCACTGATTCTGATGATGACAATGGCACAGGCCGTTACCAGGTTAGTGATTTTCAAAGACTTCTTAAAGCCACAGAATCCATTGCTTAACACAACTGTGTGCAGAGTTCAACAGTGTGGACAGGCATGCCCCTCTGAGGACACAGGACAGAGCCTGGGGACTCTCAGGTTCTTGACCTGAGACAAGAGGCCACAAGGCAAAAAGGAACCCAAAGGTAGACTATTTTAGGTAAGTTTATTATAACTCTGTTTTTCATTCTGAGGATCTTTCTTTATTAAAAACGATAACCAGGGGCCAGGCACAGTGGTTCATGCCTGTAGTCCCAGCACTTTGGGAGGCTGAGGCGGGTGGACTGCTTGAGACCAGGAGTTCAAGACCAGCCTAGGCCAACATGGTAAAACCCTGTCTCTACTAAAAATACAAAAATTAGCTGGATGTGGCGGCGTGCGCCTGTAATCCCAGCTACTCAAGAGGCCAAAGCTCGAGACTTGATTGAACGTGGGAGGCTGAGGTTGCAGTGAGCTGAGGTTGCATCACTGTACTCCAGCCTGGGTGACAGAACGAGACCAGGCTCAAAAAACAAAAAATATAAGCAAAGGTCTTCATCTGGGAAATTTCAGTGTGGAAGGAGTTGGAGTCTGGAGGTAGAGTCTAAGAAAACAATCCTTTCAACAACAACAATACCTCTTTCTCAGCCTTTTCTCCACGTGGTGTCAAGTTCAGCCCTTATTTTGAATGTGAAGCCATCAAAGCAAGTATTCAGTGCAAACAGATTTAACTTTTCTTTTTTTGAGATGGAGTCTCGCTCTGTCACCTAAGCCGGAATGCAGTGGCGTATTCTCGGGCACTGCAACCTCCACCTCTTGGGTTCAAGCGATTCTCCTGCCTCAGCCTCCCAAGTAGCTGGATTACAGGCACCTGCTATCATGCCCGGCTAATTTTTGTATTTTTAGCAGAGACGGGGTTTCACCATGTTGGCCAGGCTGGTCTCGAACTCCTGACCTCGTGATCCGCCCGCCTCAGCCTCCCAAAGTGCTGGGACTACAGGGGTGAGTCACCGCGCCTGACCCAGAGAGAACTTTTCCATGGCCCTACAAGGGGTACTTCATAGTTCCTAAGAACCTCTGTTCCTCCTGTCAAACTACTAGGAGTTTCCCCAGGTTCATGGCCATTCATTTCGAGAGGTCCTGGGAATGAAACATACAGAGTGAATGATGATGCTTCAGTGTAAGAAACTCTCTAAATTAACAAGCAACAAAGAAGATTTTCTTTTTATTTGGTTAAATCTCAGTTTGTCTATCCCCAGACAAGTCACACATGTATGGGTTTGATGAGAACAAAAGAATTTTATGAGATATAAGCAAAATTCTCCAGGACCAAAGGTACTGGCTAATGCATCAAAGAGGCCCTGTCAGAGCCGATGGGGACACCAGACGAGTCCCACAGCCAGAACCCAACTCTGAAAATCCTGATCTTAAACATCAGTGCGGAGACTCAACATCTGTTATCATCATCTTTGTTCTGAATTCTTGCTGTATAAAGAAACATCAATGCAGACACAAAGCACTGTAATGTTAGAAAGATTTAACGTGCTCTCACATGCAAGGAAAAGACCAGGAATTGAGAGGCCGCCACACTGCCTGTGGGACTGTAGGCTGAGCTCATGTCTTGGCGTCTTTCAACCTAAAAAACTAAAATGCGGTAACAGGGTTGCAGTGAAGCTCTAATACAATGATGTATGTGACACTGCTTTGAAAAGTATCAAGTAGGCTGGGCACGGTGGCTCATGCCTGTAATCCCAGCACTTTGGGAGGCAGAGGTGGGTGGATCATGTGGTCAGGAGATCGAGACTATCCTGGCCAACATGGTGAAACCCCGTCTCTACTATAAACACAAAAATTAGCTGCATGCGGTGGTGCATGCCTGTAATCCCAGCTACTCGGGAGGCTGAGGCAGGAGAATGGCTTGAACCAGGGAGTCAGAGGTTGCAGTGAGCTGAGATCGCACCACTGCACTCCAGCCTGGTGACAGAGCAAGACTCTGCCTCAAAAAAAAAAAAAAAGAAGTATCAAGTACCGTGAAAATAAAAGCAAAAGTATTTCTGTTGAGTTCCAAAACTTTAAAAGAGTTGTTTAACTCAATTTTACTCAAACTGAGTCATCCATCATTTTTTAAAGGAATATTAACGACCCAGCTGAAGACTGGAATAAAAAGCACACTGTGTCTTAAGAGCCAAATTTCACAGCTTTATGCTGTACTGACTTGATAAGCAACGCGCTCAGCGCAGCACCGCACGTCAGACCCACAGCCAGCAAGCCTGAGACCGGTGCTTTCCACTCACCGTGTTTCTCAGCACATCGTCGTCCACGTCAAAGTTGGATGTGTCAGAGGGACTGCTCACGTCGGGAATGTAAGGTGCTTCTAGGTTTCGTATATTTTCCCAATTCAGACCTTCAAAAAACGCATGCTTTTTGAAATCCTCTATTCCATTCTGCCCCAGCCGGCGCTCTCTACTGCAGATCAGTCTCTGGATGAGGTCCTTCGCTTCTTCAGAAACATCCGTGACATGGGACGGGAACTGGAATCGCTCCTGCAAGGGGTGGCAAAAACACTGGTGGACAGGTGGACGCATTCAGAGAGTTTAAGGTGTACGGACATTATAGGAAACAAAGTAGAAATGGCAGCTCCAAAGCAGGTCGCTTTTTATTTCATGGGAACGAAATGCAATCCAAAGCTAATACATTTCCATTCCCAAAAGGCAAACAAGAAAACCAGTGGTCCTTCTGGTTTTACTCGTAGACTTGGGACCACATTGCAAGTAAATGACACATTTTTACCTATGGAGGTGGCAAGGAATGTGGGAAACATGCCGCGTGCGGCAAGAGGGACAGGCGCAGCCCCGTGAGAATGCACCGTGTAAGCGTCACGGCGGTTCCGCTTCTGGAAACTCGCATTACGAAAGCAGTGGCTAAGAGGAAACACAACATGCACTGTATTCTGACCAAGAAAACTGCAAATTACCTCCACGCCCATCAAAAAGGAGACTCGTTAAAAAAGATACCGGTTGGGCACAGTGACTCACGCCTGTAATCCCAGCACTTTGGAAGGCCGAGGCGGGCAGATCACCTGAGGTCAGAAGTTCCAGACCATCCTGACCAACAAGATGAAACCCCATCTCTACTAAAAATACAAAAATTACCAGGCATGGTGGCGGCCTGTAATCCCAGCTACTTGGGAGGCTGAGGCAGGAGAATCGCTTAAACTCGGGAGGTGCAAGTTGCAGTGAGCCAAGACCACGCCACTGCACTCCAGCCTGGGTGACAAGGGCAAGATTCCATCTCAAAACAAAAAAGATGGGGCACAAAAAAAGAGGAACATGTCCGTGTGCTGATATAGAAAGACACCAAAGATACAATGACAAAAAACTGTTTATATGTAACATGATGCCACATATCTAAACACACACATGCACACGCGCGCACACACACGTGCTTAGGTCTGCTGAGGCCACACACCCTCATGGTAGAGTGGGCTAAGAGCTGAGCCACCACCTTTGTCATCTGCAGAAAGGAACAACAATGTCACCTGCTTCACGAGGTGCCTGACCCAAGCGCCCACGGGTGGTTAGCGCTCAGGGACTGCTGGCAGGCTCTTAGTAATAATTAAGTCCCAATTGTTACTTTTACAGAATCTGTCACTAAGAAGTGGATGAGGAGATTTTCATTACCTATAATACGCATTTTTGCATTGTCTGAAGTTTTTATAGGGGGTATATATTAATTTATAAATAAAAAATATGCTTCTACTTTGGGAAAAACATTTTTTAAAACTGTTTAACTTTTGCTTTGATTTGGAGTTAAATGGAAAACCAGTTACCACTTTAGTGTTAATCTGCTCACTATGAGAGCAAACTGTGGGAGACACTGGCTGGAGGACAGGCTGTCACTCAATCAGGATCATCCTGGGATCTGCGTGTGCATAGGAGGGAAACGCTATGAGCATGCTGCTAGAGAGGGTGAAATCGGCATTAGAAAGACACATGACTCTCCGGGTGAGACGGCTCAGGCCTGTAATCTCTGCACTTTGGGAGGCCGAGGCCGGTGGACTGCCTGAGGTCAGGAGTTCGAGACCAGCCTTGCTAACATGGTGAAACCCTGTCTCTACTAAAAATACAAAAAAATTAGCCAGGTGTGGTGGCAGGCACCTATAATCCCAGCTACTCAGGAAACTGAGGCAGGAGAATTGCTTGAACCTGGGAGGTATAGCCGAGACTGCAGCATTGCACTCCAGCCTGGGCGACAAGAGCAAAACTCTGATTAAAAAGAAAAGAAAAGAAAAGAAAAGAAAAAAAAAAAAGGCAGGAGAATGGCTTGAACCCAGGAGGCGGAGGTTGCAGTGAGCTGAGATTGCGCCATTGCACTCCAGCCTGGGTGACAGAGTGACACTCCGTCTCAAAAAAGAAAGACAAATGACTAAGGAAAATTTTTTAAAAGAAATAAAAAATATCAGACAGAAGAGAAAATGATAAAAAGGAAAACAAAGGAGGTGGAGAGAGGTGACATGGAAGTAAGAGAGTGAACAGTTTGGAAAGGGAAGGAGGAGAAGAGGAAACAGGATGGGGAGGATGAAGGGCTCCACCATCTGGAGACATGTGATCATTTACAGGGACTGATTTCTGGGGAACAGACTTGAGAATCAAAGTTGACATCTAACCAGTGAGTCTAGAGCCACATGACAAGGGCCCACCTGGACCCCCCACTGGCTAACCCCGGGCGCCCCACTCCACATGCCTATGCAGACGACGCGTCTGTCTGCAGAAACCTGCCTCCCGTCCAGGAAGCCAGCTCGGATTGGCCAGCATCCTTCCCCTGAGAGTGGGGGTGGGCGTCACCCTCAGAACCTCCTTCCCCTTCCTCTGGCGTCCACATCTCCTGGTGTCGACCCCACCTCCGGATGCCTTCTCCGATGTCTACTCCAGTCCGCCTGTCCTCAGTTTGGTCTAAACCCTGACATCTCTTCCTGAACTGCTCGCGTCGCTGCCTAATGGATCTTCCTGCACTAGTTGTGCTCTCTGTTCTTTAGGCCTGAGCCAGGTACCAAAATAAAAATGCAACGTCTTACTTCATGGTTCATGATCTTCCCGTAGGTCTCCACGAGTGACTCCGCATAAAACGGCGTTTCTCCATAGAGCATCTCATACATGCAGACCCCCAGAGACCACCAGTCACACTCAGGCCCGTATTTGCCCATGCCGTCCTCCATCGCCTGCAGGATCTCCGGCGAGATGTAGTCAGGGGTGCCCACGGCCACGGAGGACTGCACCTTAGGGGAGAAGGAGGTGCTGAAGGAAACCCTAGGGCATCTCCAATCACATATTTCCAACTACCTTCTCTACAATATAGCGGAGGCAGAAAATGAAATAATTATAGAATAAAACTGATGAATGATTGTGTTTTTTAAACCCAGTAATTCAAGCTGAGTATAGTGGCTCCAGCCTGTAGCCTCAGCTACTTAGGAGGTTGAGGCAGGAGAACAGCTTGAGCCCAGGAGCTCAAGGCCAACACGGACAACATGGTCCCCAACCCTGTCTCTAACGAAACAAAACAGAATTTAAAAACCTCAATAATGTAAAATTCAATGCAAATAAATATTCTCTTGAAGCACTAAACATTATGCAGCTCCCAGAACACATGAAACTCTTGTACACATGGTCTGTCAATACCCAAATACCAGCCACAGCCCCAAACAGTGCCTCTCCAATCCCCCAGGGTTGGCATTTCCCACTCTCTGTGGCTGCTCCCCGTGTGATGCGGGGGCCACGCGTGCGTATTTCCCACTCTCTGTGGCTGCTCCCCGTGTGATGCGGGGGCCACGCGTGCACGGCCGGCCTTTCTGATCTTCACGTGCAGCACGCAGGGACTCTTGTGCAGGGTCTCTTGTTAGAATAGAGACCCCGGTGGGGCCCAAGAGGCTGCATTTCTAACAAGCTTCTGGGGGTGCTAAGGCTGCTCACCTGCAGCCCACCCTGTGGTCGTCCTCATGGGAACATGCAGAAGTTGGTCCAGGCATTAGCTGGGTGCTCAGCCATTCCCTGGACAGGGGACCAGCAGGCTAAGACCGCTCCTACCCCCGCCAAAGGGAGAAAACAGCTCCCCTACTATCCACAGTAGCAGGCCCGTGCCAGAGCACAGTGACACCTCTGCAGAAAGCTGCGAGGGCATGGGTCACCTCAGAACAAGCAGGAGGAGCCTGGCGAAGCTGAGAAATCATCTACCCAGAGAGTACGATGGAGAGCACAGGGCCATCCCCAGGGGCTGAGTCTGAGGCTCAGGCAGGAACTGGAGACAACCACCACAGGCCTGTCTGGGGAAGGCCAGACTCTCCCGAGGGTCCCCTCTGGGAAGAGAGAAACAGGGTCCAAGCAGCACCCCGGAGCCAGTGGTGTGAGAACTGCTCAGGCTGAATGATCAGCAGAGAACTCTGCCTCCATCACTTCCCTACACGAGTGCGTGGCCAGACCACAGGAGCTCCTACAGACAGCGGGACCACTGGGGTGCTGGGCAGTGACTCCATGATGAACGACTACTGTGACGGGGTGGAGTGGAGGCGAGGAGGGCAACCCGTGCTCTGGTTATACCGTGACGGGGTGGAGTGGAGGCGAGGAGGGCAACCCGTGCTCTGGTTATACCGTGACGGGGTGGAGTGGAGGTGAGGAGGGCAACCCATGCTCTGGTTACACCGTGACGGGGTGGAGTGGAGGTGAGGAGGGCAACCCGTGCTCTGGTTATACCGTGACGGGGTGGTGTCGTCTGGTTATACCGTGACGGGGTGGTGTGGAGGTGAGGAGGGCAACCCGTGCTCTGGTTATACCGTGACGGGGTGGTGTGGAGGTGAGGAGGGTAACCCATGCTCTGGTTATACCGTGACGGGGTGGAGTGGAGGTGAGGAGGGCAACCCGTGCTCTGGTTACACCGTGACGGGGTGGAGTGGAGGTGAGGAGGGCAACCCGTGCTCTGGTTATACCGTGACGGGGTGGTGTGGAGGTGAGGAGGGTAACCCATGCTCTGGTTATACCGTGACGGGGTGGAGTGGAGGTGAGGAGGGCAACCCGTGCTCTGGCTACACCGTGACGGGGTGGAGTGGAGGTGAGGAGGGCAACCCGTGCTCTGGTTATACCGTGAGGGGGTGGTGTCGTCTGGTTATACCGTGACGGGGTGGTGTGGAGGTGAGGAGGGCAACCCGTGCTCTGGTTATACCGTGACGGGGTGGTGTGGAGGTGAGGAGGGTAACCCATGCTCTGGTTATACCGTGACGGGGTGGAGTGGAGGTGAGGAGGGCAACCCGTGCTCTGGTTACACCGTGACGGGGTGGTGTGGAGGTGAGGAGGGTAACCCGTGCTCTGGTTATACTGTGACGGGGTGGTGTGGAGGTGAGGAGGGTAACCTGTGCTCTGGTTATACTGTGACAGGGTGGTGTGGAGGTGAGGAGGGTAACTCGTGCTCTGGTTATACAGGGGTGGTGTGGAGGTGAGGAGGGTAACCCGTGCTCTGGTTACACCGTGACGGGGTGGAGTGGAGGTGAGGAGGGTAACCCGTGCTCTGGTTACACCGTGACGGGGTGGAGTGGAGGTGAGGAGGGTAACCCGTGCTCTGGTTACACCGTGACGGGGTGGTGTCGTCTGGTTATACTGTGTCAGGGTGGTGTGGAGGTGAGGAGGGTAACCCATGCTCTGGTTATACAGGGGTGGTGTGGAGGTGAGGAGGGTAACCCGTGCTCTGGTTATACTGTGACGGGGTGGTGTGGAGGTGAGGAGGGTAACTCGTGCTCTGGTTATACTGTGACGGGGTGGTGTCGTCTGGTTATACCGTGACGGGGTGGAGTGGAGGTGAGGAGGGCAACCCGTGCTCTGGTTACACCGTGACGGGGTGGAGTGGAGGTGAGGAGGGTAACCCGTGCTCTGGTTATACCGTGACGGGGTGGTGTCGTCTGGTTATACTGTGTCAGGGTGGTGTGGAGGTGAGGAGGGTAACCCATGCTCTGGTTATACTGTGACGGGGTGGTGTGGAGGTGAGGAGGGTAACCCGTGCTCTGGTTATACCGTGACGGGGTGGTGTCGTCTGGTTATACCGTGACGGGGTGGAGTGGAGGTGAGGAGGGTAACCCATGCTCTGGTTATACAGGGGTGGTGTGGAGGTGAGGAGGGTAACCCATGCTCTGGTTATACAGGGGTGGTGTGGAGGTGAGGAGGGTAACCCGTGCTCTGGTTATACTGTGACGGGGTGGTGTGGAGGTGAGGAGGGTAACCTGTGCTCTGGTTATACTGTGACAGGGTGGTGTGGAGGTGAGGAGGGTAACCCGTGCTCTGGTTATACCGTGACGGGGTGGAGTGGAGGTGAGGAGGGTAACCCATGCTCTGGTTATACAGGGGTGGTGTGGAGGTGAGGAGGGTAACCCGTGCTCTGGTTATACTGTGTCAGGGTGGTGTGGAGGTGAGGAGGGTAACCCGTGCTCTGGTTATACCGTGACGGGGTGGTGTGGAGGCGAGGAGGGTAACCCGTGCTCTGGTTATACTGTGACAGGGTGGTGTGGAGGTGAGGAGGGTAACTCGTGCTCTGGTTATACTGTGACAGGGTGGTGTGGAGGTGAGGAGGGTAACCCGTGCTCTGGTTATACCGTGACGGGGTGGTGTCGTCTGGTTATACCGTGACGGGGTGGAGTGGAGGTGAGGAGGGTAACCCATGCTCTGGTTATACAGGGGTGGTGTGGAGGTGAGGAGGGTAACCCGTGCTCTGGTTATACAGGGGTGGTGTGGAGGTGAGGAGGGTAACCTGTGCTCTGGTTATACTGTGTCAGGGTGGTGTGGAGGTGAGGAGGGTAACCCGTGCTCTGGTTATACTGTGACAGGGTGGTGTGGAGGTGAGGAGGGTAACTCGTGCTCTGGTTATACTGTGACAGGGTGGTGTGGAGGTGAGGAGGGTAACCCGTGCTCTGGTTATACCGTGACGGGGTGGTGTCGTCTGGTTATACGTGACGGGGTGGAGTGGAGGTGAGGAGGGTAACCCATGCTCTGGTTATACAGGGGTGGTGTGGAGGTGAGGAGGGTAACCCGTGCTCTGGTTATACAGGGGTGGTGTGGAGGTGAGGAGGGTAACCCGTGCTCTGGTTATACTGTGACGGGGTGGTGTGGAGGTGAGGAGGGTAACCCGTGCTCTGGTTATACTGTGACGGGGTGGTGTGGAGGTGAGGAGGGTAACCCGTGCTCTGGTTATACTGTGACGGGGTGGTGTGGAGGTGAGGAGGGTAACCCGTGCTCTGGTTATACGTGTCAGGGGTGTGGAGGTGAGGAGGGTAACCGTGCTCTGGTTATACTGTGACGGGGTGGTGTGGAGTGAGGAGGGTAACTCGTGCTCTGGTTATACAGGGTGGTGTGGAGCGAGAGGGTAACCCGTGCTCTGTTATACTGTGACGGGGTGGTGTGGAGGTGAGGAGGGTAACTCGTGCTCTGGTTATACAGGGGTGGAGTGGAGGTGAGGAGGGTAACTCGTGCTCTGGTTATACTGTGACAGGGTGGTGTGGAGGTGAGGAGGGTAACCCGTGCTCTGGTTATACAGGGGTGGTGTGGAGGTGAGGAGGGTAACCTGTGCTCTGGTTATACTGTGACGGGGTGGTGTGGAGGTGAGGAGGGTAACCCGTGTTCTGGTTCAGACCTGTTCTAGTCACTGGAAGACGACTAGTGAGTGGAGGACAGCACCCGCCTACCAATTAATCAATATGTGGTCAAGACTTTTAAAAACAAGAGACTGGCTTTGTGGATGAAAACGAGCAAATTGCGTTACTCCTTATAAAATGCTGTCAACTGAAGCCAGTTACATGGGCTCTTCTACTAGTGCTTGAAAATCCACTAGTAGGAAAGAAAGGGATTGCTCTCTTTCGGAAAAGTATTTTATGTTAGACCTTAGGATAAGTGCAGGTTTTAAAGAGGAAAAGACTCCAAACATGTAAGAACAAAACTGCAACAGTGGCCACAGACGCAGTGAAAGCAGTTTGCTGGAAGCAGCTGCCAACAGGGTGTGAGCAGACCCGGGACTGCCCCCATCAGGCTACTCAGCCATGCTGCTGGTCTGACTATATGGTGGAGACCACAGGGGCCTGTGGCCCGAGCCTGAGTCTCCTGGTGACAGCCGGTCCGGGGCAGCCTCTTGTTCTCCTCTGCTGGCGGGAGTGTCAGCCGGCCCCGGAACACTGAGCACCAGGACTCTGTTTCTAGGTCTACAACACCCACAGAGAGGAAACCCCTAGCAGGAAGTTACCTGCCCAAACACAAGTGAGAAAATACAGTTACATGGTTAATGCCTGCCCACCCGACCAGCCTGGACAGGGCACTTTAAGGAAGAAGCAGAGAGTGCCCTCGATCTGCTATAGGACTGGCATGCTTTTAGCCACCTTGGGATTGAGGCAACCTGACAACTCCCATTCTGGAAGGCACACATATTATTTTCGTAAACATAAAAAGCAATAAAGATGCTTTCCAACTTAATTTTTATTTGGGAAACGAAACTCCCCAAATAGAAAATTTCAACTATCTCCAAAATTGATTCGTTTTCTTAATTAATGTACTTGGTTTCTTCATTGTACCTCAAATTGAAAACTTCCCTTCTAACTACAAGCCAAACCCAAAACCAAATGGAAAATCTCCAACAAAAATACCTACAGTTCCATCATCATTCATCTTCAAACATGATCCAAAGTCAGCCAGGCGGATATGACCATTCACGTCCAAAAGGACATTGTCAGGTTTAATGTCTCTGTTAGTAAAATAAATACACAAATTAACCATCTCCATGCAACACATTAGGTAGGTCAAAGCCCTTAACTCGTGGTGATCAGATGAAGAAATGCTAATATCCTCTTGTGAACAGCTGTCACCATCCAGTACAAATGCCTCTGTGTGACATTTATCTGGCACAATGGTGGCCGAAGTCATATCACTGCCCCTCGTTTAGTCCCCAATTACCTTGGCGAGGCCTTGTGACGATTCCTACTCGTCTTCCCACCCAGCTAATGAACCCCTCCTGAGCATCTCCTTGGTCCCAGGCACTGCTCTCCAGCCCACCCACCTATGCACGTGACAACGCTGCCCCTGCCTTCATGAAGCCTGCACACGAACTGAGGTGTGGCAAACACAAATAGGCACTGCTGTCTCAGGCAGGCTCACACGGTGCAAGCTCTGTGCTGAGTACCATGGAAAACAGGAACGGGACAAAGGGACGGAGGGACACGCGTGGAGGGAGCTGGCTGGTGGCTGCCACACAGAGAGACGGCAGTGGCCAGACGAGGTCCAGGAGGCAGGTGGTGATCTGGGGGAAGACTGCTGCAAACCGCCCCATGCCCCCAACACTGCACTTTATAGATGAAGACATGGAAGCTGAGCCAACTGCCCACAGTTACAGAGCAGCGCGGGCTGGAGCAGGAACATAAACACAGGCCAGTCCCACTAACGCCTGTTTCTGAACTACTTTCTGTGTGCTCCCAAACACATGTGTGGGTGTGGGGCACCTTGGAGCATGAACGCTTTTTTCTGGCAGAATAAGCTTACGTGACTGAACAGTATGAATGCTAACAAACTTTAAAAACAAAGAAAGACGTTCAGCAAAAGACAAGCACAAGTATGTTCCCAGCGGCACCACTTGTAGCAGCCAAAAGGCAGAAACAATCTAAATCTCCGCCTCCAAGAGAATGGGTAAGTAAGCCAGGCTATACTCGCGTGATGGACACCACACCCCAATGAGAACAGATGGGTACCAACTACCCCAGCCACATGAATCAATCTCACATAAACATGGGCAGATGACAATTCTTACCTCAAAACCAGAAACAAAAACACAAAGCAAAAGAAATCCTAGCATATAACACTCCAAACTGAAATAAAATACCCTCAAATAAACATTCAGGAATACGAAAAAGAAAACAAAATCCCACAATCACACACACACACACACACACACATGGCTAGGTGCAGTAGCTCACAAACTATAATCCTAGCACTTTGGGAGGCTGAGGCAAGAGAACTGCTTGGACCTTGGGAGGTGGAGGCTGTAGTGATTGTGATTGCACCACTGCACTCTAGCCTGGGCGACAGAGCAAGACCCTGTCTCAAAACACAAAAACAAACACACACACACACACACGCAAAAACATGCACATGCACTCACTAGACAAAAGCATGCAGAAAAGAAGAGCTGATTTAACTTAGGGAAGAAATAGAAGAAACATAAAATCTTATCAGAAATGAAGATCAAATTATAAGAGGTCCAAACAAGAATAAATTGAAACAAAAATCTAATGGAAAAATTGAAGAAAGGGAAGAAAAGATCTAGAAGAATAAAAGGAGGTAAAGAAAGAAGGAAAAGCAGTCAGATAGGAAGCAGCTAGAGGCTGATGTGGGAGACAGGCAAAGAAGGCCCAACAGGTGCATAACTGGAGTCCCTGAAAGAAATCAAAACAAAACATGACTAACATCTAACTACAATCCAAGAGAACTTTCCAAAAATTAAAAGAAAAAAAAAAAAACCTGAATCTAGAATGAGAGGGCCCATTAAAGATTTAAAAAAAAAAAAAATATGAACGTCCTCTTTTTTGAAGCCAGCCAAGTTGATATTGATGTTCATATGATAAGAAAAGCCAGAAAAACCCTGAAGAGTGAGCTGTGATGGGGGGGATCAGGCCTAGATGATTTCAAAACACACTACACAGCCTTCCTAGTTAAAGCAGTGAGGTGCTAGTGTGTGCAGAGGCAGAGAGAAAATGGAATAGAGTAGAATGTCTAGAAACAAACCAACTACATGAAGAAATCAAGTACAGGACAAAGATAATACAAATCACTGGGGCAAAGATAGACTTAATAAGTTGGTGGTGTGACAACTGGAGAGCCATTTAAAGATAAAATCAGGGCCGGGCACAGTGGCTCCTGCCATCCCATCACTTTGTGAGGCCGAGGTGGATGGATCACAAGGTCAGGAGATCGAGACCATCCTGGCTAACACAGTGAAACCCCATCTCTACTAAAAATACAAAAAACTAGCCGGGTGAGGTGGCGGGCGCCTGTAGTCCCAGCTACTCGGGAGGCTGAGGCAGGAGAATGGCGTAAACCCGGGAGGCGGAGCTTGCAGTGAGCTGAGATCGCGCCACTGCACTCCAGCCTGGGCGACAGAGCGAGACTCCGTCTCAAAAACAAACAAACAAACAAACAAACAAAAAAAACAACCCCATAAAATTAGAACGCTTCTTTGTGCCATATATAAGAACAAACCTGAAACAGACCCAAGCTCCACACGGAACAGACTAAACTATATGAATGAAAAACTAAAAATACTGAAAAACAAAACAAAACAACCCCTCCCCCGCCAAAAAAAACCCAACACATGGGTTTTCTTTTTCTGGGAGTAAGAAAAGGATTTCTCATTCAATTACATACAAAAATTTTTAAAAATCTGTGTGGCAAAAAACCACAATGAACCACATCAAAAAACAAATGGCAAACTGGGGAAAAATATTTGTAATATATATCACAAATGAAAAGCAAATACTTCTTTAAGAATTGGGGGAAAAAAGCCCAGAAATCCATAAGAAAAGGGTAAAACCCATGAAACAACTCACATAGGCCTGCACACAAAAATACAAACATGATGGTCAACATCACGAGAAAGGTGAAAAAGAAAACTACAATTGTATACCATCTCTCACCCATCAGAGGGCAAAAATACAAAAGTCTGAAAATACACGGTTGGCAAAGCTGCAAGGAAAACATAAAAAAGAACGAAGAAGCAGGCTGGGTGTGGTGGCTCACGCCTGTAATCCCAGCACTTTGGAAGGCCAAGGCAGGCAGATCGCCTGAGGTCGGGAATTCGAGACCAGCCTGACCAACATGGAGAAACCCCATCTCTACAAAAAATACAAAATTAGCTGGACGTGGGGGCAGGCGCCTGTAATCCCAGTTACTCAGGAGGCTGAGGCAGGAGACTCACTTGAAACCAGGAGGCAGAGGTTGCAGTGAGCCGAGATCGTACCCCACTACACTCCAGCCTGGGCAACAAGAGCGAAACTCCGTTTCAAAAAAAAAAAAAGAATGAAGAGCTCCATGAATTGATGTAGAATGATTTACAGGATACATGACTGAAGTTTTAAAGATGCAAAGCACACATTTAGCACACCATCTTTTACTTAACAAAGGAGAAGCAAGAAAACGTCTGCACGGATGACAGCAGAAGACAGCAGACTGGCTACCGACCCTGGGTTGCCGGCGGAGGTGGGCAGGATAAGGAAGGGGTGACCGCTTCTCTGAGTACAACTTCATGCAGTTTTGGTGTTTTGGAAGCATGCTAACATCCTACACAGTCAAAGAATAAAACTGAATCAACAAAGGCGGAAGGGAAGTCTAAAATGGAAAACTGATTCAAACCAATGAATCCAACTGTATTTCAAATAAATAACAACAGTGAAGGGGCAGCTGGGGTTAAAACAAAACAAAACAAATGTAAGTGACTTATAAACAAAGAATTACTGCAGGCGAGGGGTGCGGTCCCAATGAGATGGGGGAGAACTGCACACAGACCCAGAACTCTTTTTGGCAGGTTTGTTTCTGTGATGGCATGGGCAGAGCAATTCTAAAGCTATTTTAGACACATCACAGGACTGAGCAAGTGAGTCCCTGTACCAACATTGCTGGGAGTCACAGTTTCAGTAGGAGGAAGACAAAAATCTGGAAGGGAGGAAGCCAAGAAGTTAACTCGTGATTCCCAAGTATGCACAGGTAGACGCATGTGTCCATGAACGTGCATATACCTCTGTTACTACCTCTGTGCACTGAGGGGCCTAGAAGCAGACGACCCCATAGTAATGCGCACGCCCAGCACCCAGAACTTGGTCTTCAAAGCCGCTCCCCGCTAAAAGGCCTTGAGCTCTTCTGAGAAACAACGGAGTGGGGATAGAAGGTACAGGATGACAGAAACTAAGGACATCCCCAAAAAGTGACGAGGCACAGCGCAAACACAGGAGTCAGCTAGAATGCCAAATATGGGCCAATTTCAGCACAAAAATAACTAAGATAGTGAATTATAAATCACCGCGAGAAAAAAGGATCCATGTATCCATACTGATCATAAATAGACCAACAAGCAGGGAGAAGGGACGTGCTTCCTTAGAGCAGAAAGCCGGATGATGACTGGCCAGTGTGCTGGGTCTGGAGTTTGTAAGTCAGTTTGCAACCATGCAAAGACTGGTCCAGGCAAAAATCATTAGTGGATACTACATCTTGGGAGGAAATTTTAAAGAAGAGGATATTTGCATGGTCTTAAAAGTATCTCTCCACAGGGAAAAAACTATATAGCAGAAAAATCGAACAAAATCTTAACTGGGTGATGGATTTGATCACCACTGAGGGGCTGATGGATATTGTACACCTCTGGATATGACACCCTGAGAAGGACACAATATATTTACACACACACATTCCAAGAGGAAGGAACACATCATCTCAATCTATCAGGAGAAAACATTAGACCAAGTGAAACTGAGAAGTCTTCCATTGAAAAGGCAAGGGACACTGTATTCTCCAAACACATCAGTGTTCTTCCAACGTGCCACTGTCATAACAAAGAAAGGATGAGGAACTATTCTAGATTAAAAGAGATTAAAGAAGACATGACAATGAAATGCCACGTGATCCTGGACTGGATTCTGTACTGGGGGAAGGAAATACTCTAAGAGATGCCCCTGGGTCAACTGATAAAATTTGAGCAAAGAGGAT